AATTGCTCTAGAAATTCAGTTAGAAAATTGTAAATAGCTCGTTAACTAAGAAAGATACAAAGGTCATTACGCTATAAAAAAAAATTTAAAAATTCATAGTTCTTTTTGATTTTAAGATTATTGGGCCTTCAAATCTACAGCACTGGCAAAAAATTCAAAGAAAAAATCGCAACAGTAAACTTTTTATAAAAAAAAACAATTTTTTGAATATTACAGTTCATCAAATTTCTAGAGGCTTTCGACGGCTAGACAGAGAAAGCACTACTGACAGGCATCCCGACGGATTTACGCAATGAAAGTACACTCTGCGCATCAAGTATTTCACTATTTCATTCAGACGTAAATGTCAGATGTAAATTTCGCTAAAACATTTTTTATTTTCGTTTGTGTTTTTTGCTCATTACAGTTTAATAGAACCTAAGTATGGAGTTTAATAGCAAATTAAGAGGCCGCGTGATTAACAGTCAATCTCGCGAAATAATAGCCAATGTTATAGAGTTTATGAGAAGAGAAGGAAACTTTAATTCACCTTCAATACCATTTAAAAATGTAAATGATCGTGTTGCTGCAGCCACAGGAGTATCTAAAAACACTGTCGTCCGCATTTCTGGAGAGAAAAAAAGAATCGATAACCGTGAGATATCGGAATTTTCATCACCAAGAAAAACCATTAAAAAACCAAAAACAGTTAATGATATAGATGAAGCTGCACAAGAATCAAATTTTATTTTTTTATTATTAGATAGCTATTTTTGTTTCTGAGTTGTGTTCATTTACAGGCTCAATTTTTTTCCGTTTCTCCTTTTTTTCTTCCTTTTTTTATATGGGGTTTCAAGTTGTTTTTGACTTATTTCGACGTAAATCACAACAACACACTTTTTTAATAAAGCAAACAAGTGTTAAGAGGTATATGTACGTGTAAACTACAATTACAAAAAATTGATATGAAACCCATGAAACCACCAACAAAAATGTAAAGCTAGCTTCCGTACTAGAACATGGTGTCATTCGTCGAGATAATTTATCGTTTTGTTTAATAGATCAAGAAATGTAAATATTCCCCTGTTATTTTTTATAAAATTATAAGAGAAATAAATTTTTTTCTAAATAGTATAGTTTATTATTTTGTAGAAAAACAAAATTTCGAAAATTTTAGTAATGTTTCAGAAACAACCGTTATTAATAATAGGTACCATTTTCCTTAATAAGGTAGAAATAAAATATAAACTATTTCCACGATTTACAAAGGCCTACAAAAAAATTATAGGTATTTTCCGCTATCCTATAAAATTTATATTTTCTGACTCAATTTCAAAAGGTTGAAGGAATTCCAAAACACCTTTTATGGCATAATAATTATGTTCAATTCTACATACTATCTTTAGCTGCTTTTAAAAACGTTCTAAGAAAGTCCAATCAGACCAATTTAATCCCTAAACTATTCCACACTTTTAAAATTTAATTACCTAAAAATATTAAAAACTATTTAAAATAACTTGTTTAGCAGACTGTACAATAGCTATCTTAGTCACACGTAGCGCGTTCTCTGTCTGGGCGTCGAACACCTCTAGAAATTTGATGAACTGTAGTTTAGGTAAATAAAGTCAAATCCACTTATTTTTTGGTAATCTATCTAAGGAAGAATTTATGACATACCTTTTTGAAACACCCTGTATTTATTTTATCAATTGTTAGTCGAATGTAGTTTATAGCAAGTATATAATATTAAAACATAAAGAAATTGGCTATAGACTGTACTTTCATATCTTTTGGTGACAAATGGACCATGGCCATGTCTATATCAGGAAAACAACATATTTGTATCAGTGGCGGCTCGTGGGTTTGAATGTAGGTGACGCGTTGAAAATACCACAAAAAAATTCGACTTTTTTATTTTTTGTACATTCGATTCTTGATTTGTCGATTCTCCTATCTTTTAAACTTGCAAAACTATCTATTATATCATCAAAAAATGGCTCTGATCGTACAAGTTTATTTAAGAGTGTCTTTTCAATTGAAATTTTTGCTAAATTGGTAAGTCGATCTTCTGTTATTGTATTTCGTAGATGTTTTAATTCGTTTTAAACAAGAAAAACTACGTTCGACTGAAACACTAGTGGATGGAATAGTTAAGATTAAGGAATATACCTTACAAGCGTCTTTGAAAATATCACGATTCTCAAATAGTTTTTCCAAAAATTTATCGATATCAATATTTATAAAGTTTTTATCACTGTAAATAAACTGTAACTCATTTTTTTTTTATGGCACTGGATAAAACCTTTGTAAGTCATTTAATTACTAGGATACATTTGTATCATTTATTTTAAAATGTTTGATGTTGGTTTTCTAATTTATTTTATCTTAAAAGTTTAAAAATTGTAGTTACTGAAACTATTGAAAATTCAGAACACATTTACCGTGTATTCCGTATATCAACTTGGTTAACCAGTCTGATTTTTTGCTTTTCAAGCTGTTTTGATGGCACCAATAATTGTCAAGGGTAACATACCAAGACCTTGATAATAGTCAGCCATTTTAGTTGAATCTAAATCTCGAGAATATTTTAATATTAATTTGATGACATTTCACTAGATCAAATATTGACCATTTCTCTACAGAAATAGCCACCGATTTGGTCTAGGGAGATAGTCAAATGTTTTTTTTTGTTTAAAATATTTTTGTGGTTAAACAAAGCTTTTAGACTTCAACCACTTTAACAGCTAGAAAAGATCGGTTTCAGTAAACAAGTTTTAAATACAGGATTATTACCATGGGAGCCATTGCCACAACCGAGATTAAAATTTTTACGATCCATGAAACTTTTATTAATAAAAAAAATTGCTAAAAAAAGAATGGCTAATGGTAATCGCCCCCTCCAAAAATTCGGCCTCGATATACGGAATATACGGTTTTATTGAATCCAAAACTTTAAGATTGGAAAATCGTGCGCGAATACCATCATAAACGATTTTATTGATGTAGGCTCACTGGAGATATATTTTACCGCTTTGTTCTTTTTGTATTTTCTTAATTTTAAAACAAGTCATAAATTATAAATAAAACACAATCATTGACAGTAGAATTGAATATATCGCCATGTGTTCCGAACTTTCTCTTTTCGTTTCATGGGAATCTGTGAGATACAGACTTTGATGTTATATGGCAATGCAAGAGAGATGATCTTACATATATTCCCACGATTGCCATGCATAAGATGATTTCGGAAAATGTAGAGACTAAGAAGTTATAATTTATGACAAAAAGTCAATAAAATTACTTGATTTAATTCAAAAATAGTTTTCATATTAAACCTATTTTTTGTATTTTTGATTGACATCGCTCTGAACATGTATTAACAAAGTACATACTGGCGACATAATTTGAATGACGCCAGTTTGCAAACGTTCGAGACTGAAGTACATCTTTTAAAAAACTAGTGTCTTGATTTTGTATATGAACTTCTTAAATTACTTTGGAAAAAAAGGCCTATACAGTTTCATTTTTAAACAAATAATTTTTAATTGATTTTGTTCGCAAGAAGTTCTTCCATATTAATGTTAATATACTACGTTTAGCCAAACTGTAACTTTTGTGAGGAAGAAAATGATTAAGAGTGTGACTGTATCGAAGAGTAGTACCTATCCACTTCTGGTGAACACGGTAAAGATGGCGCCAGCGCTTTAGTGTCGCTGTCTTCGCTTAAAGGCGGTTTTTCCTCGTCACTGACACAGCTGTGGATCGAGTTAGGCCTGTACGACATACGTTTAAAAAAACAAATTCTGTATATTAGTATTCGGTAGAAAAAAGGTTGTGATAGAAGGTGCTGCGAAACAAAATTTTATTGAAATAGGTAGACAGTAAGAGTAGGAAAAATTGAAAAGAGCAGTCAGATTGAAGAAGAAGAAAATTAACATTGGTTTTAAATAAATTTAATTCCGGGTCTAAACCTAATAATCTTACAAAATAATATATAGTGCGACCAAAAAGTAACGCATAAACGAATTATTTTCGAAAAAAAATCTGAGATATGCCGATTTTAATTTACCACATTTTCCAAAAAATGTATAATCGAATAAAAATAATAACGTCAAAAAAAGTTTCATTTAAATTATTTCACTATGTCTTGAACATTAATAACAAAATATATATATTTTAAAATTTCACAAAACAAATTATCATACTTTTTTGGGCAGTTTATTTTTCAATTTTTAGTTTTTAATTCTACCTGAAAACAGCTGTTTAGGTACATAAATTCATTTTAAGTTAAATAAATGCTTTTCGGAGCTGAAGAATATCAATTTTGAATTTTAAGAGCTAATTTAAAAATATATCAGATTCAGTAATGGCTTTGAACAATATTTATTTAGCTTACAGGTCTCTTGAAAATTTATTTAAAAATTTTAAACTTATAATGTAAATTTTTGTAATCAGCTGGGCAGAATTAATAATGGTTTTATTGAATTTATTTGTTACTTTCTTCTAATTAATTGATAAACCAAGTGGAAATATATTTGAAACCAATAGTCACAATTTTCAAATTATAAAGAAAAATAAAATGGTTAATAACGAGAAAGAGAAGAAGAGATTGAACTAGTCGAAAAGAAGAAATCTAGAATTCATTAAATAGAATAGTAGAAGAAAAGTTTGTAAATTCAATAACAAGTAAAAACATTTGGGTGCAATTTTATTTATCATTCCAAGATTGAACGAGCACATCACGCATTGCAATTAGTAGAAAAGGGATTTTTTAGATTTCGACACACCTTCTTATCGATGACATTCTGAAAGAATCGGCGGGACTAAACAACGCAGGCGTAGACTGGGACAGGACGAGAGATCCTTCGCTATATATGAAAAAAAATTCTAATTTCTACACTATAACTAGTACTAAAAAATCTAAGCAATCTCAAAAATACAAAAAAAAACCGCTATGTTAAAACGTTAAGAAAATCCACGAAAAATAAGTCCGATAATATAAAAGACACAGTTTCACTTACTTTGAACGCCTGACTAGAGTGTGATAGGACCCTGCGGGTTGCCATATTTGGTCTTTGCCCATACGGACCCCTAAGTTGTAGTTTGTATGTTCCTAAAACGATAATAGTATATTACAAATCAATCAGTAGAAAGAACAATATAAGTATGAATAGCAAATATCAGTACGCCGCTTGAATGTGAATATAGGAAATACATGATTTTTGATTATGCCATAAATTTTAGGAACATCCTGTTTATTTATGGTTCTTACACCTCATTTTTGAATTTTTATTTTGCTGTTCTTGGGATGTATGTGTTTATTTTTTTTTATAAATCAACAGTTTTAACTTTTGATTTGTAAAGTTTGCGGCCTCTGTTTTGTGCGTTCTTCTGTAGTTCATTTTAGATTTTTTTGTCATTAAGTGTCTTTTTACTTTTATTTTTATTATAAACTCATTATTAAGTAATTTTAATATATAGGTAATTAACTATTCTTAACTATTTATTTGCAATTCATTGTATGTAAAGGGCATGTATCCAAAATCCAGATTTTTTATGTTCCTACAATTTGTAATGGAATTGTCTTTTTTTTATGTTCTCATGTACATGAAAAATTTAAATTTAATAAAAATTTGATGGTAATTATATTTTTAAGATTTTCTAAATTTGTAAGTATCCGGATACCGGATACTTTTTTCGGCATTCGGATACTTTTAAATTATTTACCACAATCGTAACTGATCCAATCCATATTATCTCTATTAAAATATGTAATCGAAATACTTTGAGCTAACCTGTATAATTAGAAATCAAATACGTATTTTTCAATATTACAATATTTAAGACACAATAATAATAATAATAATAATAATAATAATAATAATAATAATAATAATTTATTTCCCAAATAACAATATACATACAATCTTAAAATTAATTAAATACATGATATAAAAAAAAGAAATCACAATAAAGATGAACTTTATTTCACACATATTTATATTGTGGAAAATAAATTGAGGGCAGTCCCATGAAGACGAACTTGTTATGGGACATCAATTAATCATCGGCACATTAATGTAAATATTATGTAAGATAAAAGTGATAGTAATAGTAATAATAATAGTAATAGTAATATAATTATAATTCAAGATAATAATAATAACAATACCAATAATAACATCAATAATAACATTGATAATAAAAATAATAGAATTTTAATTGAACATAATAATAATAATAATAATAACAATCATAACATGAATAATAAGAGTAATAGAATTACAATTGAACATAATAACATTAACAATAATAATAAAAAATAATGATAAAAAAAAAATTTATCATAAAATCATAACAAACAATAAAAATATATTTGAAATTTTTTTTTTTTTAGTTAGTAGCATAAATTATAAAAAAATAATATATAGAGTATAAATTAGACCAATTATAAGAGCAGATAAAAATAAATAAAAAAAAGAATGAGTGTGGAAATGTGGAGACTAATGCAAAAAACCTAAACATATTTGTAAATCGATAATAGATAAATTTGCAAGCCATGTTTTAATTTTCTTTTTATATAAAGATACATTATTCGTTTTTTTTATTGATTGAGGAACTAGGGAATATAATCTGGGAGTAATGTAATAATTAGAGCGTTGACCGATTGATTTATTTGCCTTTTCCGTTTTAATTTCTGCGTTTTGTTTGTGTCTAGTATTATGCGTATGATCAATAGAAATTAACTTATTTTTATTTTTTTGTTGCAGCGATAGGATTCTATAATAATAGAGTTTTTTTAGGTCAAAAATATTTGTTTCACTAAAAAGTTGTTCTGTAGAATAGATACGTGTTCTATTATATAAGATTTTTAAGAAATATTTTTGTAGAACTTCTAGATTTTTAGAATGCGTACTGTATAATCCGCCCCATCCGGCAATGCCATATTGAATATGCGATTCTACAAGCGCATGGTACATTATTTTAAGTTCTTTAAAGCCAAGGATATTTTTTAGTTGCTTATAGGTAAATAGGATTGATCTTAATTTTTTTGTTAATTTGTTAATATGCATATCCCATTTTAAGTGATGATCAATCTCAAGTCCAAGGTAAGTTACTGATTCGGCTTTAGTTATTGAACACAGATTATTATTTTCGTTTATAGTAAGAGTTTCTATATTTGGCAAATTGATTTTATTACATGAAAATGTCAAGAATTTAGTTTTTTCCAGATTTAGGGTAAGACTCATTTCATTAAACCAATTTTTTATATTTTTTAGGCTTATTTCCGCTTTGAGTTTGACTTTGTCCCATGAGTTGTCAGAGAAGAGAATGACGGTGTCGTCAGCAAAGGCCGATATATAAATATTTTTATCAAAATAATTGCAATTAGTACCTACTTAAATAAAAACTAGTAAAATAATTATTTTATTATGATTTGTAGTTTTTTTGTGCACCCTGTAAAATTTAAAATAACGCAAAAAAATTTCTCATCGCCAAAGATGAATTCGACGATTCACCCAGTATACAGCCGGTCGGGATTCAACATCTTGCGACACGTTTTTACAGGAAAAATCCTGCAAACCTTTGTCCGGTGTTAGCGTCACAAACTTGTGGAGGTTCCATTAGCCCAGTTATGTTTCAGTTGGTAAAGACAAGAGACCTATATTCTGTCACTGTGAACCACCCCAAGAGCCGCCACTGGTTTTAGTGCCTAACTATCCGCAAAGGTAAGTAGGTGTAGGTACCTCGAATTTTTTGTTTTGTAAAATGTCTAATTACATTACTAGTTCTTAAAATGTAATCGAGAAAATACATGTATGACGTTGTTGCTTATAATGTTACTGATCATGTGTTATTTATGTCGTCATCAACATCAATAAAGTATACAGATCTGCTAAGATCAAATATACGAGCCTGCATTGCCTATGCCAGAACCAAACACTCAGCAATCTCTCACTACTCCTCCTTTCGACGCTCTCGACTCAGTCCCGCTCGTCGGAGGATCCACAAAAAATGGATTGTCGAATAGATCTGATACTGACGAGAATATCGAAAGGTTGTATAAACATGGCAAGTCGTGCCAACAACGAGCTTATTTCGTTAGATTTATATGGACATGACACTGGCTGGTTTTTGACGCGGTTCAGGCGCGACTCGTTTTATTTACACCCACCTTTATGTTTTATTGTTCATTTTGTTTTAATGTTTTATATTCACAGAATAAAAATAATAAACAATTTATTGAGTAGTTTTTTCCTGTTTCTATTATATCGCTTTCCATTTTCGATAATTTATTTATGCCTAGTATTGTTTATTGTTACTCGTAATAGATTTTTCGACATTTTTAATTTCGATCAATTAAATTTTCGATCATTTGTACTTTCGACTACTTATAATTTCGATCAATTCGATTCGATCATTGATCCCTTCGACCTTTTGACTTTCCATCATTTTTCTGCTCTCTAAACCCCTCGTATACTACTTTAACTTCTTTAAACCTCAAATGTAGTATTCCTGTTTGATCTGCGTTCAAGACAACACAGTACAACCTCTGTCAATAAAATCACAATATTACAAGATACATTGACAGACTCTCTATATGATACGATGCCTTTTTCATACATACCTAAACTTCTTATCAAAGAGAGTTTCTGCAACTTGGAATAATTTGTCACCATAAAAATAATACATCGAATTCTAATAGAAAATGAAGGCTGCTCTTACTAACAATGCTAGAAACGACCATTGACTCTCTGGTAGTCAGGATATGAATTTATTGATCGATATGAGTCTCGTAATAGCTGTTAAATAAATTCGCGCCAATAGCCCTCGATTTTATTGCGTGGTTAATTCAAATTTAAACCCATTTTCAGTTATATATCCCGTATACAAATTGGTAAATAAGTTTTTCAAAATTCTATTTTATTTCACTAAATATTTTATAATTCAAGCGTAGTAAACAAACGATTTCCTGGAATTAAAATTAGACTTAAGAGAGAAGTAAACTACATTATTTTCAAGAATGAAAATCGTTATCGACGCGATTCTTAATATATACATGTGCAAGGCTGATTATTCAATAATTATTAAATATAAATAAAATAATGATAAACTAAGAAAAGAACTATAAAGGGGAATTGAGGTCAGATACGGGATTCTCCGCATGGCTAGGCTGCATCTTGGTCTCGATGGCTTTGAGTCTTTTTTTTTTGTGTTTTTGAAACGCGATATTGATCAAGGGTTGTGACGTGTGCCCCAAATATTAGCGGAGTTGGTAAATTAATATTTTATTGTCTTTTATTATTATATTGAGTCCCATATTTGTGTGTGGCCAGTTAGGTCCTATTTTGTATCATTATTTTAATTATATATTTGTTTTGAGAACACTGGGTTTCCTTCAGCCCTTTTACAGATATGTGGCCTTATATCAAAAGTAGAATCCTTATAGTGTTAAGGGCTACGAAGTCAAGTTATAGTAATTTAGTGTTTACACTATTTAGTCCCTTATCGTCTAACCCCCTGGGACATAGCTGGTCCCTAATTATTAAAGAACACGTAAATCGTGATATTTTTATTAAACACACGCCTAATGTGACATTCACAAAAGAGACTTACCTTAAGAATTCGCTTTTCCTTCGCCAAAATCTTTAAGATCAATCTGTAGTTTCGAGAATATTTATTCAAGAACTGTGTCAAACTGACCATAACTCCATCGATGAAAGTCCATACGAACATAAGCAAGGCGGCGATTTTTTGCGATAATTTTGGTTCTAAAAAAGTGAAACAACCTGTTGACAGAAAAAATATGTCACTTTAAAATTCGTGCTACTTACTCGGAGTCACTGTTAGAGTACTAAATTCTTCGTCTTCATGCGCTTGACTTGTGCTTGGTTCGGGTTCATCTTGGATTCTAACGCTTTTAGGTTCATGTTCTGCAATCTAATTAAGAAAATGAATTAGATGAATATTAAAAGAAGAAGAGAAAGGCTAAGAACAGTTCTTCGATATTTTATATAACCTAAACATAGGTAAAATTTTGGATAAAATCAAAAGTAGATAGATTTTTTGGGTCAAGTTAGCAAAAAAGTGGCATGACTCGAAATGCTCGAGGTACACTGATATTAATGATTTTAACAGGGGAACCAATTAAAAGGAAAAATATTTTCAAACTAATAAGAGTCACTATAAAAATAGTATAATTACCATAACAATAAAATTAAAGGTTGAATAATAGACTCTTAACAACAATATTTGCTTTGGGTTTGTATGGCCCATGGATGGATCCATAAAAAAAAGGTAACAGATGCTCTCTAGCGTCCTTATGTGACATAAAAATATAACTGCAAGATCATCTGATTGGGAAAGCATACCACTGTATTTCAGGCTGAAATCTATGCAATTAAAATGAAAGAGAACATCTAACAAGGAAGTAAATAAATAAGCCATATTAATTCTCTCAGACAGCCAAGCAAGGTGTAAACTGTTCTCTTTATACTAGAAAGAAATAAAGGGTATTTATGATGATCATTCTTGCGATTTCTTCACCTTCTAAACGAGTTGAACTTCATCTTCCTCATCTAACAAAAGTAAGAATAATTTTGTAATGATTGATTTTAAATACCCATTGTGGGACAAGAGGTATGAAAAGATACAAGAAGTATGAGAAGACCTAAGAAACAATTTTGAACGAATATGGGGAAAATTGAAGAAGTTGACTTTGTGGAAGATAGAAGAAAATTTAAAAGACTCGAAAGTAGATGGTAAATTATTTAATTTCCGAAGCTTTATCATCTTATCCAAATTATGTTATATTAAGAACTGTTCTTTTATCTAAAAGCCTTTTGCAAAGCCCCAAAACGAATAAAAAAAATACAACTAACAAAAAAGAACAAGCTATAGCTACTGGTAGTAAACTTTTTTCCAAACTCAAAACGGTTATTTTTAGAAAAAAAAAAACGTATACCTGTCACAAGAGGTACGTCAATCATTTTCCAATGTTCTACTTACCTTATTATTAACTTTGTTAATATTGTCAGTCCAAAATTATTTGTTATCTATGACTACTGTAAAAAGAGATGCAACATTTCAAATGCTTATTAATGCAGACATCACTAATGCATCTGATTAAAAAATATGATATTTATTATTAATATGATAGTATTTATTCAAAAAGCATAAATAGCGTATGACATTTTCTGCCGGGGAATCTACACAGTTTATAAGATAATGTTCGTCATTTTAACCTTATTAGAAGTAGGCGAAATAGCGTCATATCACTCCTTTTAACGTGGGATTCTATACCCCATATTCAGAAAGCACAAATGACATAGAAATAACGAGAAAAATATACAAAAAGCTGCAAAATGATAACAAAAATCAGGCTACAAATTAAAAATAATACATCTAAGTAATAAAGCTGCACGATGCGATATACTAAGAGTATATTAATTTGCATAATATATTTATTAAAAAGTTTTTGGAATTTTATGGTTGAATGATTTTGCAGCGAAATACGTCTTTCCTATAGCCAATTCAAAACTGTACCAATCTTTTTTAGTGACCAAAACATACACTATTGGTAATATACCGGATGTTCAAATTAAAGTGTTATAGTTAAATACCGCCGAAAATATGCATTTTATAAAAAAAAGTTTTAGACAAAAGTTTTATAATTTTTTGGGGGGATTTTGGCGAAATTCATTTTTTATAGCTGACCATAATATGGCCGTATCGAGGTAGACTTTTTTATTTCAAATTCTAACCCCAATTTTTTTAGATATTCTTAAAAAATAAGAAACTTTTAAAGGAAACATTTTTTTATTGGACTTTTACTTATTGAGTAACACCTACTTGAAAATTTTGCTGCACGAACAAAAAGTTGGCCATATTGTGGTAGCTATAAAAAAAAAATTAGCCAAGATGTTTACTCCAAAAAAAAAAATAAAAAACTTTTTTCTGAAACGTTTTTTTATAAAAGGCGGTATTTAATTGTAACACTTTAATTTGAACACCCGGTATACTGTTTTTGTATTTTAAACGTTTAAATGTTTAAGTTTAATAATTGCATTATAATAATTTCAAACTGAAATGTGACGAAGATGTTAAGTGAAGAGAAGAAAAACTCAAAATCCGAAATCCAACATCACAGAAATCAAATTCACCTCTATAACAGCCTTAGGACAGGTTTTCATTGCTAGTCTTTTATCTTTGAGAAATTAGCTCTCGTAGTAGCTAAACTAGTACTGTTACTCTAGGCTACCGCCTCGTAAGTGACAGCTAGCCACACTATTGCTGTACACATCCATCCCAGAGTGTTTGTATTATATCCCCATATTTTTCCCGCAATGTTTCTGCATTCAAAATGATCTCATCCCTTCTGCAAACTTTGAGAATTCTATCTTAAAAACAACCATTTATTTGTGACATATCAAGAGGCAAATACTTTTTTGTTCCCTATCCAAGCAGCAGTGCATCAAAAATGTGTTTCAGTATCAACCTTATCTTATTTAGAAAATAGTTTCAGACAACAATAATAGCGACTATTGCTGTAATGGCTTCTCATCAGGACCCAATATCAGAGTCTACTTCAAAATCACCTCTACAAAATAGAAACATAGCTAGACACATGAAGAATAAAAGTAAAGAGTATCAAATTCAATTACGTTACTCTTACTCCCATTACTTCAAAAAGCCCACGTGAAGTACGTGGGTACTCATCTAGACAGGCGACATAATATAGAGTAAACGTCTTCAACTTGGAATTGCCTGTAGAAAAATGAACTGACACATGGGAAGGAAATCCCATTACAAAATAAACTCCTGTTATAAAAATCAATATTGAAACCTACATGGATTTACGGAGCCCAGATATCGGGCAGTGCCAGCGATTCCAATATTATGAAAATACGTTTTCAATCAGCAATTCACCGTGGTTTGTACCTAACCATGTCATACAAAGAGATTTAAAGATGCAAACAGTCAAGTAAGAAATAGTTTGCATAAGTTAAAAATGCTAGGATTGATTTAGTAACCACCCCAATACCCTCGCAACACACTATTTCCTAAGTATTAGTTTTTGTGTTGTCACCCAATGTTACACTGTTGTAAGAGTCCAGTATCTTAGTGTACTTCTTTAAAGTGTACCCTGGCATGGGACTACTACTGTGTGGACAGCATCATTCATGTTGTACAATGTCCGATTGTCAAATCCATTGTTTATTATCCACTTTGTTGGGACAGATCGCAATAAATCATGGAGTTAAAAAAATGATCATGCATACAAACAGGGCTTTTGTAGCCTTATTTATTTCCTTCACATTTATATTGCAGAGAAGTTTATTGACCATGGTCAAGCCTATATCTTTGACGACCTCTTTTTTCCATTCTATATCTATCCTGTCCATTTTGATGTTTTGAAATTGAGTTCCCTTTTCCTTGAAAAGACTACCAAAATTTTTTTGATGGGGTTCATATTAAGTAACGAGGTATATAACCATAGGAGTAGTTGTTTACCAAAGAGAAACAGTCGGAAGCACAGACTTTAAGTTTTTCTTCTTTGTTGCAAGTGAAAGAATGTATTTTTTCATTGAATTACTGATAAAATTAGGAATTTTGGAAGTTAATAATGTTTTTTCCGCAAAATAGAGTTAAGATCAAGATTTGCTGTATTCATATGCATACTGCTGTAATCTCATTTTTCTATGATGTGTCAACGTGGAATTTTCTCCAAAACTAAATTTGATTGGTTAGAGAGAAAAGAGGTATGCCATATGACAGTTATACTTTAACCTATAGAGTTTAAATACACCAAACTTTTAATATTTTTGACATTCTTTTTAAAACTGAAGTATTTCGCTGATAAAACCGCCTTTCAACCACACAACTCCAACTCACTGTAGGCGGAGCCGAGACTGTAGCCGTCAGCTGAGGTCGCGAAGGTCTATCTCTGTCCGGCATAGAAACCTGTCTACGTAATCCCGTGCGAGAATCCATCATAGTTTGGGAATGCGTACGTAGAGCGGAATGGACGTCTTCTTTAATAACTCTATGCAGGAACTAAATGAAAGGTAAGGTAAAATAGGACAATTTTATTTTATTTTGTGCAAGGCTACATGGATATCGGTGCCAGGGCGATGGAATGAATACCTACCTATTTTCATACAGTAGTATTTATCAGTATAAATTATCTACTTAAATAGATATCTGCTATAGGAGGATTTGTTGAAAAACTACAATTACGAGTATTAAAATTAACACTAACAAAAATGGGCAAGTAAATTCAATGTAATTTTATAAAAAGATATTTACTAACATTTACAAAAAAAAATATATAAAATCTAGAAAGAGACTGATATAAATAGAGAATTACTTGCTCATATAACAAAAAAAATGTACTCAACGATTTTAAAATGCATTGTCAATACAAGGGAAGGGGACAAAATAAAACTGAGAACGAGTTGTATAAGAGCTTGGTACCTGTTGAATAGGTAAACATGAAGTAAAATGGAACAAGATGGTTGTCCATAAGTTTTGCATAACCCTTTTCTACCTCAGTCCATAAAGTTTACAAACTTTGTTAATAGTGATATATGTTCAGCGCAATGTGTAGTGCGCCTGAGCCACTACCATATATATTTTTAATAAATATCCCCAAGTGAAGCATTTATGATTATTACAATCTGTTCAGATTTGAACATTTTTCTTTATATTCACATACTAAATTAACATCCTGTACATGAAATAAATTATATTTAATTAAAATGTTTATTTTCATATGCAGGTACTATAAACTATTCCAATTTCATTTCAAGTTCAATGTATATCGTAATAACAAAATTGCTGAATTGGTATTTTAAAATCATTTCAAAACATTGAACTGGGATCGATATTCGAATATTTTTCTAATGTACCTTTAAATATTAAAAGTTGCTAATTGTTATTTTATATTGTTAAATCTGTGATAGTATAAATATAAATGCAAATGAGAAATAAAGAGATTGACTAACAACATGTGGTGGTATACTTTACAAAATTATCTCTAAAATGAGATTCTTGAAAACCGACTATCACTTACAAAATTCACCTTTGAAGTCTAATCACAATCTAATCAATTAGGAATTTTATTCTAACCTAATTTATTTAGAGTTGAAAAGCTTCATAAACCAAGGTCCTACTTATTAGTGTACCTTGGAGTCTAATTATTTTATTCACAGGTTCCTAGGGGGTGGTTCAATCCCTTGTGTTAAACCATCCCTAGGAACATGTAAAATAAAATTTGGAATGAACGCATTGTCAAACCACCTCTAATAGTCACTAGACCTTTTTTATTCATGTGTTATACCCTGCTGACTAATATATTTTTTTTATATTTGTTTTATTGAGATTATTTATACTATTTTCTTTTGTTCCAGTAAAAACTCTCTTCAAACCGTTAAGAGTGACACTATTGCAACGTGGAAGATAAAACAGCCTAGTCAGGGAAGTAACAGTAGTGCACCCTTTTTTTATTCAAGCTCCACTTTTCCTATTGTTTACAACATTTATTAATGTTATTGTTTTGTTCCAGAAAAAAAACTTTCAAAACTTTAAGAGCGACAATACTGTATTGTGGAAAATGAAGCATCGTGACTTTCCCCAGTTGATTATCACTATAAATTTAATTATTTAATTTGTTTAAATTATTTAATTTTTTGATTATGCTTTTTAATTTTTTATGTATTAAAAACATATTTAAAATTTGTAGTCAAGTTAAGATTGGTGCATGCAACTCATTTTTACTTTCCTATCTGTATACAGATATAAGGAAAGTATAGGAATCATGATTTTTTTCGACCTCGAGTTTTCGACGGATTTTTACGTTTTGAGGTCCCCTGAATCCGTTTTGACTATTTTCGCGATGATGTCTGTGTGTGTGTGTGTGTGTGTCTGTGTGTGTGTGTGTCTGTGTGTGTGTGTGTCTGTATAACGCATAACTCATGAACCGATACACGGAAAAACACCAAATTTTAAACTTAAGCTTTGTTCCAGCGTCTTATGAGCTGATTAGATTTTGGGCAGAGTCGGAACATCTGGGGGGGTACTTTATAGGTGGTCATTTTTATATTTTATGGAATATATCTGTTATTTACGTTTGGGTAAGAAAATTTTTCAAATGAAAGTTACTTCTTATTTTATTATCTATAATTTTTGTTATATACAAAATTTTCCTAAAATGGTCCGTATTCGCGAAATTTGACAAAATGTAAAAAAATATTTTTTTTTATAAAAATTGTTCAAACAAAAGTTGTTTGTAATATAATTCTCTATAATTTTTATCTTATACATAATTTCTCTAAAATGGACCGTATTCGAGATATTTAAGAAAATGTGTAAATTTCGAAATTTGAAGAAAACTCAAAAACGGATAAAGAAAAAAACATTAAATTTTAAACTTAAGTTTTATTTCGGCCTGACGTGAAATGATTAGATTTTGGACAAAGTCGGAACATCTGGGGGGTTACTTTATGGGAGGCCGTTTTTATATTTTATGAAATATATCTGTTATTTATGTTTGAGGAAAAAAATTGTTCAAATAAAAGTTACTTCTAATATTATTATCTATAATTTTTGTCTTATGTAAAAATTTCCTGAAATGGTCCGTATTCGAAAAATTTGACAAAATGTGCAAAATTCTGATTTTTATGAAAATTGTTGAAATAAAAGTTGTTTGCGATATCGATCTCTGTAATATTTGTTCATACATGATTTTTTTTAAATGGACCGTAATGGAAAAATTGTAGGAAAAGTGCTAAATTTAAATTTTTCAGTATTTTCATTTTCAATGAATATCTATAGAAAAATGTTTCGCGGTAGATGTATGTGGACAATGTATATATATATTTAGTTTATCCTCTAAACATTTATAGAGATGCTGCAATAGGTTGTACACAATAAACGGAAAAAGCCTGTAATAACTAGATAGGAAAGTCATGTGTTGGACACATCAGATTTTTTGCTTAGTTGAAGCGAATACGTTCTTGTATTATCCAAGATGGCGCCAATTTACTTATGTCTAAAATAAGGCAAAACGGAGTTAGTATGAGTAAATCTTAATTTTACTACCAGTTTTTACCTTGAGTAATATTTACTAACAATCTTAAATGGTCCCGCGTTTTTGTATTATCCAAGACGACTGAAAGACGGCACCATTTTATCCATGTCCTCTCAAATAGTTCAAAGAACTGACGGATTGGCGCTGATGCCATACTAATTCAAATTTAAATATGAGAGATACCGTTCTAAAGGGAAGTGTTCTGTGATGATTCCTAAAAAGGACAAAACCAGTACAAGAATAACGTTATTCTTAGTAAGCAAAATCAATGTTTTAGAGATGAAAATTATTTTCCATCTCTGCTGTTTACCATTGGATATAATTCAATGTCTGTCGCGGTATCAGCCAAAGGAACCTCTCTACCCCGTCTAAAAAGCAGCATGTTTCGAGCAGGCGATGTTAGCTCTGTCACTGTTCATAAGAGATACAGCCAACGCTTATTTTCCGGGAGTTTGTCGACAAAGTAATGTTCAAAGAAGATCAGAGGCCCCAGTCAGAGTGACCTAACTACATATTTTATCAACGATGATATGGCTTTGAATTATTTTTCTATTTTTCTCTTCAACATTTCCATGTTGGAGCAGTGGTTCGTAACCAGGGAGGGATGTCGCGCATGGTGTGTGACATTTCGACGGTGAAGACATGAATAGAGTTGGCGCGAAATAAAAGCAGTGGTTTTAAGTTGTTTATAGTTATTTATAACATTTTAAGCGATTATTTGTATTATATTGGAAAATTTGTTCGTTGTGTGTGGTAATTACTGAAAAACATTATAAAAAAAATACGGTATATGCAATTTACAGATGTAACAGTAACAATCAAAGCAAAGAATAAAAAACTGTCAGTAAGTATGTCCAGGAAAAATGCTGTGATATTTTAATTTTGTATATACACCCCCATGTAGCAGTTATTTGGTACATTATTTTAAGCTCTGTATTATATTATTCGTATGACAAATATTTTATTAAAACCTATTTTTGTTATCTTATACATAAATCCCATCTTTTTTCATGAACATTTTTTTTAAGTATATTTAATTGGGTAATAAAATGCAGGTAAATGATTCACCAGTTGCGAATCTTAATCAAGTAAAAATTTCCGGCGTCCCCAGATGCTAATTTTTTATCCAAAGTTCCCAGTTGAGAAGTTGTGAGTTGCGAAGATATCCTTCCCAGTATTCTGGTGGAATGTTTTTTAAAATTATAAATCTGAATTCGAATGTGTTTAACAAAAATAAATCATCAAAAAGAAAAAGGAATTAAAACTTACTCAAAATAAATACTTCGTTTATGTATGTATTTGCATTTATTTTCCTTCATAACTCTTTCCTTAACTATCCCCTAATAATATCCTTAGATATTTCATGTAATTTCTAAAATATTTTCCTTTAATATGTTATGAAATTTCATTAAGTAGCATATATTTTCCTCATACTACGTCAGCATTTTTAAACCCTACGCGTGACGTCATGCGCGTGCATGGCCGTTCTACTTTTGACACTGTTAATATGGCGTTTGCTCGTTTCGTCCATTCCCGTTTCGTCCGCTAATAAAATTATACCTCTTTTGACCCTTTTTATGCTCGATTCGTCCGGTGAAGTAAAACCCTACTTAATGAGTTATCGTTTCGTCCGCTGGACATAATTTTATTAATAAGACTGGATAATTTAATTTTTTCAAGTCTATAATTGTTTACAAGGTAAGAATACGAATAATACGATTATAGGTAATTGCTTGAATCTAAGAGACGTAAGCCTGTAATTTTATATTTGGGGCATAAATATAATAAGAAAGAGATTTACAAAAATTCGAAAATTTTGTGGGGCTGTTCGAACAGAAGTTGTACCGGTTCAGTAACTACGAATAATGATATGAGAACACTTTTAAAATGTAAAGAGCATTCCATTTGTGCACCTGACATAGCTCAGAATGAAGTGCAAGTTTGCATTTTTAATGCAAAAAAAAGCACGCGAAGAATGTGGTCCTGTTACACAAATTTATGAAGAAGAAGTAACGAAAAATGTGAAGAATAAAGGACTTGATTTTGTTACCACAGTGCCCATATTCAATTCTGTCAAGAAACAATTGTATTCTGCTCGACAGAATGCTTTAGGGATCGAAATACTACCAAAAACCCGAATGGAAATTACAATTCCTGAAAATTATAAAAAAATTCTATTTTTTGACTGCAAGAGTGACGATAGAATTTTAATCTTTGCAAATGAGGCCGAACCATTACTAAGGCAAGGAAAAGTTTTTTTCGGTGATGGGACATTTAAAAGCTGTCCCACAGTATTCCAACAACTTTATGTTATTCACATGGATATGAGAAGTACTGAGGAAAGAACTTGTGTTGTCCCGATTATATATGCCTTGTTACCGGATAAGAGCGAAAAGACATACACAAGACTTTTTACAATTTTAAAAGAAAAAGTGCCTGCTTTCAAACCAGTAGAGTTCCATCTGGACTTTGAAAAAGCTGCCATTAACGGAATTATAAAAATATTTCCTGAAGTGAAAATAAAAGGTTGTAATTTTCACTTCAACCAAGCACTCTGGAGGAAAATTCAAGAGCTTGGACTTTCAGTAGAGTATAGAGAAAGAGAAGACGTAAGGCAGCATTTGAGAATGTGTGCTGCTCTGGCACATTTACCTCCCCACCAAATTGACGAAGGTTGGTTGACAATAATTATGGAAAACTCTCTAAATATGGAAAAGATAATTAAATTTAACGATTACTTTGTTAAAGAGTGGTTAAACTCTCAAAGATATTGGATGTGTTTCCGCAGTCGCCATCGAATCACAAACGTCGCTGAAGCTTGGCATAGTAGACTGAACAAAAAATGCAAAAAAGTCCATCCAAATATATTTGAGGTAATTACTATCCTACATGACGACTCCATTCATTATAAGATAATTATTGAACAATATGAGCTAATGTTGACAACACCAAAAAGGCTCAAAAAATATTGTGATTTGGATAGGAAGATCGAGAACACTATCACCAAATATGTTGAGGAAACTATTGATTTGCCAGAAACGCTGCGACGATTGACATATATTGTGAAATATTAATAAACTAACCACGACAAGTCAGCATGCTGCATAAAACTTTGTATATATGTTAAATCACTACTTTTTCAAAAGACTTTTTAAAAAAGATTTATTTTTACTTTAACAAAATACATGAGTTTGTTTTAAATCAAATTAACAACTAACTACTTTTTATATTTACTCCTATTTATAGTCTCTGTCTTATTTGCACTGTGTTTTCTTTGTTCACTGGAACTTGCTGACACACGCGACCGTCCTTGTGTTTCGAAACCTGATACGCGTGTGCAACGTTAATTAGGATGAAGGTAACTATTTTCACATATAACATATATGTATATATTTTTTCAGACAAGCTCATATTTGAAGCTTTTAAACATGCCAATATATAAAATGTATGCATTACATAGAAGGCTAAGACATTTCATTTTATAAATTGCCAGTCCTAAGCCTGGATAAATTGCGAAGGAAAATGTATATTCTTTTTACCTACCTACCTGACATCACCGGACGAAAGGAGAATATTTAAGTACCCTTGATAATCTTAATTTAACGAACGGACGAAAGGAGAATTTTTCGTGCAACGGACGAAACGGGAACGGGCGAAACGAACCAACGCCGTTAATATCCACCTTTTATTTTTTATACTATGGTTTGTAACTACTGACAAATTTTGTTATTGTCTTTTCAACAGTCTCCACCTTAAGGTCCCTATGGAAATCAGTGTTGCGACAATACCAGAATGCAGCGATGATGTTCCTTAGTACTTTATTTGGCAAACGTTAAATAACTACAATAATATTATTCCAAGTAACAGAGCTTGTTAACGAGGTGATTTTAATCTTATGTCTTTTACTAGAGCTGCCACGTAATACAAGGTTATCTAAAGCCAAGTGACGCGATAAGGCGTGAAAGAAGGTATGCAGTCTGCCGAGTCACTTCAGATATGAATCGAAACTATAAAAATTAGATTTTACCTTTCAATTAATTTTTAAATCAAATAGTTTTACTGATTTTGAAAAACAAATTAGTAAACGAATTATAAAAATCCAATAATCAGTTAATGGGACGTAAAAAAATATAAGATAATATACAATATGCAATTCGCCGAAAAATACATTCGTTTTATTGTCGAAAAAGACGAAATTATTAAAGTTATTAAAAATAAAATATCAATTCATCAAATACTGTTGGACCGCAAAGCTCTAAATACATTAATTGACATTGACAGATGGTGTTGGTTTGTAAACTTTGGGACCGAGGTATAAGTAGGTACACTAAAAACCACTATCTTATTTTTTTGCCGATCACACCTATAAGTGTTGTTTTTGTCTTCAAATGTTCAATGTCTTCGCTAACCCCAATATTACGTGAAAGCATTAATTGAAAAACGTGTTCTGGATAATTGATAAAACAATTCGTCGTTTATCACTAAATGTGAAAAAGAATATATTTCTAAGTGTCACCATAATAAAAAAAAGTTAGCAAAGTTCTTAGAATGTCTAGAATGAGTATGCAAAAATTTCACGAACATATATATTTTCCAAAATTTGAAACAGAAAATTTAATTTGTAATATAAGAGCACTTAATTTTAATTAGTTTATACAACCCGCCCGAATATAAAATTAACATAAAACCAACAAATATTCAGTCACTAGAACATAACAATAAAGGGTAATAAACATTAAAATCTCCAAAATATAAAACAAGTACAAAATAATTTCGAAAAAGAAAAACTTACGTCAAAGAGATAAGGTTTGGGTCCTTCATCGAAATCGTCGAACGATTCTTTTTCTTCGGGTAAAAGATCTATGTCATCATCTTCGACTTCATCAAACATGTAATAGTCACCGGAACGGATAGCTAAGGAAAAGTTACTCATAAAAAAATGTATAGTTATAATACAAACGTTAAAAACCCCCAGTACAACATATAAGCATGCGGTGAATCCATTACAAGCAGAAATATTTTAGCTAACAACTTTCAAACAAATGAAATTTTAATAATTGCTGAATTCAAGAGAACAAGAGTTATGAAATTCAATAAAAAAAAATCAATAAATAATAATAATTATAAGTTCCTAGTTTTATTTTATTTAATAAATACCACAGTGTATAACCCTGTTCTCAATAAAGCCAATAGAAAATTCCAATCATGCCTAAGCCACTCTAATTCATAATTTACCAGTACGAGAGTTATAAAACATTTGGGCTAAAATTAAAAATAAAACATTAAGAAAGTTGTAAACCAAAATTATCAATATAGCCATGAAGCGACAAAGTTAAGTTATTTTATGTGGTAAAGAAGAAAATTGCGAATTTATTCGAAGCTAATGAACTTTAAATATAAAATAATACGTAGTGAATAATTTTTTTAATAATTAAAAGCAATAGCTCGACTTTGAGTGAGAGAAACAAGTAAAAAGACAATTGTATGATATATTTATTGACATTAAAATTATGTCAATCTGCTGATTTAAATTTACATCTTACACATCCTAACCGTTTACATTGACAATGTATTATTTTGTGTCACATGGCATACGTCATACGTTTAATTGCTCCATGGCCATCATGATGACAGTTGATATATTAGATTATTCTATTCTAACTTACGGGTGAACCTAGATAAATTTATAAAGTATCCAATCTTTTGTTAAGACTAATAAATTGTAGAGTTTGATAATACCACCAAACATGCAAGAAAAGTAAGCACAAATATTATATTAAAAATTAATGCTTCTTGTTAAAAGAAAATGAAAGAAGGTGTAGAAAAAATAAAGTGAATATAACCAAAAATAGATATTTTGTAAAACATTGAAAAACTCATTCAAATCGCAGCTCGAAAAATGAATTTCATTTGGGTAACATAAAAATGGGCATTTTTACAACGTCACAGGGATTTAAAAATAAACCAGAAGTATTAAAAGGACAATAAACAAATAATAATAAAGACGACAAATAAACAAAAAGATGAAACAAAAAATACAATCCACGATAATGTAAAATGTTGTGTTATCTGATGAGTATTTAAGTTAATTTGTTGAGGCCCTAAAAATACAATGTTAGTAGGTTTAAAAAAAATCAAAATTAAATTAATTGTAGGTTTTACTAAGGTGGAATATATTTACTATTTCGAATTTATAACAAAAGTAAAGTTGGTTCATGCTACATTATTTTTTAATTTCGAAATATTACAACATACAATATTTTTGTTTTATTATTAAACAATATATCTTGCTCGACAGATGTTTTCTTCCGTGAAAACTACTTTTAAAGAAAAATCAAAAAATACACAGGTTGTACCATTTATAAAATTGCATATAGGAAGTATTTTTAAAATCTTGCAATTTTTATCCACAGAGATTTAGAATATATTTCGCTAAAAACATTTAAAAAATTGGTTCCTTGTCAAATATTGCTGTACAACCTATACCCAATTTAATTGTTAGAGTCCGATTACAATTAGAAAGAACACCGCTACGTCAGAACCATTACTTCGAATTTTAAATATATATTTAACTATCAATAAATTAGAAATAAGTAAGTTGTTAGGTATAAAACAATATTTCCTATAACACTTCACTGAACCCCAGTAGGCGGTGATAACCAATTAATTACTTGCCAAATGATGACGTAGCTGTGTTCTTCTTATTTTAATCGGACCCTACTAGTTCGCTTGCAACGTAACTACTTTAAAATTAAATTGGCTACAAATTCCAACAGAAAAAATTACCTACGCTTGACTGTAATGTGTACTTACGTAACCGGACGTGACTATTGTGACTGCTTATTATAAAATGTTAAGTTCGCTTGTATATATTGAAATAGAGAGTTAGCTTGGCCTTAATTTGAATTATGATTCAAGTTCAAAAGAGAATTATTACTGTAAAATATGTTCTCATGTGCCAGTTTTTGTATATGAAAAGGCAGTTACTACAGAAAATCTACTGATGGACGTAAGTTTCGTCACAATTTATTTTAGATTAGGTTTGACAGTCACTGTGATTTACGGTGGATTAGTTATTATAGGTGTCTCAGCTTTCTGAATATGGCACTAACCTGTGCATAGTTTCAAAAAATCCGCCAGAGATCGTATGTTTACATGGGACTAAATGTTGAGACTTCACTTGACATTTGAATACTACACTTGTAGGGTAGAGAGAGGGTTCACGTCGAACGACAGCAAATTTGCACTCTCTCTCGGTTGTCAAAATATTTAGTTTCAGCTTACATCTGTAACCAATTTTTTGAAAATAATGGTGCTTTATTAGTCTACTAATAATTATACTGCTGAAATAAAAGACTAACAGACAAGGTTTTTCAACGAGCAAACGTGACCCGTATCTATTCATTATGAGGTAAGGAAGAAGCCTGCTGCCAATAGATCTCTTTGTAGACGATGGACTCCTAGTTTCAAACAATGAACATCTAAAACAAAGCTTCTTAGAAAACTGCAAGTAGTTTAGAATCATTCTTTTTGGGACTAGAAATGGACAGAAAGGAAGGCAGGTTTATTTTTGTAAGTAAAAAAGCTTATACAAAGAAGATTCTGAAACGATATGAAATGAGCACATACGAGTCTGTCTCGACGCTCATCATTAAGGAAGTGTAAAATAATAAAAATGTAGAGTCAGAAAATGCTGACGAATCAAAAAATTTTCCTTATCGCCAAGACACTGGGGTTCGATGTACCTAATGATAGGATCAGGACCAGACATCGCGTACGCAGGATGTCCATCCTATCCTGGATCAGTCAGAGACAATCAACAGTCGCCATCTATACTACAAAGGCGGAAATAAATGCTCATTTGAAGACGTCACAAAACTGAAACGGCAAAAGTGATGATTGATAATGAAGCAGCAATCAAACTAGTAAACAATCCAGAATATCACAAAAGATGGAAACACATCAAGATGAGGCACTTCTTCATAAGGGAACTAGTCATGAAAGGATCAATTGAAAAGTACATAAAGTTGCCACTGAAATTCAACTAGCAAATATGGTGACCAAACCATTGTTCAAAACAAGATTACAGATGTTATGTCATGATTTAGAACTAAGCAACTAAAATGAAAAAATAATTAATGAGGAAAAGTGTTAAAGTAGACATTACATAATTATGTACTCTTTAACATTTACTCACTCTTAATACAGTAATGCTTATAAGTTGAAGACAAGAAAAACCAAAAGTCGTCCTGGAAGTTTTATTTAATTTAAGAGTAGATCTTCCACAAATATCGAAATTAACGTTTTCATCACACTAACTACGAACAAAATGAAAAAACGTTCAGAATTTTACGTTCAGATAATAAACACCAGAATAATATTGATATTTTCCATAGCTTTTTGATTTTAAAAGGCCAATAAAAATCTTACATGTTAATATGTAATAGATACTGTAATGGTATGAACCGTTATTTTTCTCCCATCTCTAATGTTTCATCTTTTTTCTTGGTATGACGGATCGGTTTTGTCAATCGATTAGAGGTGGGCGATTCGATTCAATTTGGAGATTCGTATCGATTAGAAATAAAAAAGATTCGTATAGTTACGATTGTTTATTTTAAACAACAGTTTATTTGTTAATTATTTATTTGAACACTTATTTATTTTAAGACAATACTATTTTAATTTATATATATTTCGAATGTCTTTAAATTGTTCACTAATTATCTTCACAACTGTTTGTATACGACTGACTGCTCCGTGTTCTTGCACCAACATTTATATACACATTTAAAATTCTGGTGAAGGTTCTAGAATGTTCTCGCCAAAACTAGTAACATTATCCCGTTCGTTCTCGAATAGTAATCGAACGCGCCTTCGCCATAGTTGTCACATATGTTTGGTCTTAAGGGGTTTAATAATGTATGATAATCGGACAAATTGAGCCTCAAAGGCCAAATTTGACGGAGAGGGACTTGGAGGATTAGAGCATGACTGAATAACGAAATAACTCGCATTACAGTATTAAGTGATTCGTATTTTGATACTAAAGATTCGAGTAACCGAGCTAACTAGACACTCTTGCTGATTTGACATTATTCGTATCTCGTATATACCGTATATAGTACTTTCGTACAAATTAAATATACAATACAGTACATTTTTAAACTTGGTACATACTAATATAATTCGAAATATTTTTACGTCCAGTGTTTAGTATTTCGTTCTATAATATTGATTCGATTTGAAATATCCGACCAGTGTTCGCATCTTTTTCTACCACAATGTTAAAGTAAAATATAGCAACCAGCACTTTTGTTTTTGCACTGATTTTACTACTCAAATTCTAGCAATGAACAAAATATTAAGAGATCGTATCAAGAACTTTCGAATCATATGAACGAATCTTTTCAAATCCGACGATTCGTATGATCCGTATCAGCACATTGATCCGTATAATTTATAGGAATCATACGGATTCGAGCCATCTCTACAATCGATAACTATTGTCAGTTCTTTCTGAATTTATTTACTGGAAATGTAATTTTATAAATCGGAGCATTCCGATGGTAATTTATTTCATTTTTATTCTTCAAAGCCGTCAGATTTATTATGATAAGCTTTGTTATTAATATTTTTATGTTTAAAGCTATACATACAATTTTATTTTTTTATGTATGTGATAACACGTTTCAGCCAAATAAAAGTATCTTTAATTTCTGTAAAAGAATATTAATTGAAAAACGTTTTAAGTCATCCATTCTATTTATCATTTCCCAATTTTATTGTTCAAAACTATTTTATCTCTGCAATTTTATGATGGTTTAAACCTTGGAAGGAAGTAAATAAAACTTTAAAAGTTATGTTACGAACACATTTATTTTCTTTGACTTTGGGTAAATGGTGTACGGAATGCCGCTGATTTAGATAAACAAATCAACCTGTCACCCTCTTGAAGGAAGTAAATTGACCTATTGATCCGATGTCATGCGATAGGAGATTGACAAGAGCTAGTTTTGAATATTCCTGTATACCTTGAAGAAATCCATTAAGAGGTAAGTTTCATTTTTTTTTTTTCGTTGATGTAACTCAATAGACAAAATATAAACTTTAAATTAAATTTTGTTTTATGAACTCTTGGAAATTAGAATTTGTTCCTTGCTTTATTTAGAGCGTAATAAGTTAATTTAACTACTAATATTAATGTCCATGTCTTTTAACATTAATATCATAATATGCACTAAATATGAGGGATAATTTCTAATTGCTCAAGTTATTTTATCCTAATGCCTAATACCCTTGTACTTGAGCTTAAAACATATAAAAAACGTATATCATTACTTTTATGATTTATAAGTCTTTTTAACGTCGTCATTTGTTAATGAACTTTGTTATACAATTCTGTAATGTTTTTGATGATGGCCCTAAGGCCGAAACCGGTTGCCATTTAGTTCATATAATAAAGAAAATGTATGTGACATTGGTTTTGTGTATCATTCTTAATATTTTTTTTTCGTTTTTATATGGAATTTGATAGAAGTTGAAACACCTATAATAACTATACCCACGGTACTGTGATTTAATCAGACTGGTATTAACTGCATGGTTTATTGTAGACCAACTTCTTTTTTTTCTCTTGGTAACATATAACATATATTCGATAAAAAATATTATTATTGGGAACGTAACCGATATTTTCGGCGCATAGTGTATGTATAAACCAACCATTACATAACCCCATTTCGATATAAACTAAAAAAACTATTTACACAAACAAAAATGTAACTATTTACAATGAAGTAATAATAAAATTCAATAAATCCAAGCTTGATAATATATATTACGCCATGCAGATGCAGAACCCACTGTTAAGGCAGTCTGTGCAACACAGAAAAAAAAAATACAAATAAAATTTACCGGCAGGGTGTGTTGTTGGCGTTTTGCTACGATAGCATGGTCTATCACTTAAGCTGGAGTCTGTACAAAAAAATTAAAAGAGTAACAAAAATTAGAGAAGATAAAAATGTCATAAAAAAATAGGTTTATAATCGATTCATTGAGTTGCTTTTACAACTAGGCTTTATTTTGCTTTTAGGCTTTCCTAAAACGGACTTTGATTAATGCATCAACTGCCACGGCGGTCTCAATGTGCTTTTTAATAAATGTTCTTTGAGAAGAGAAAAAATTATGTTAATAGCCCATTTATTGGGTTGCTTTTACAACCAGGCTTTATTTGTACAATATTTGCTTGCTAAAACCGACTTTGATTAACGCATCAACTGCCACGGCGGTCCCAATGTTTAAATAGTTAATAGTGTCTTAGAAATTTCTGTTTCGTAATGTCAAGGGTAACAAATAAAGAATAAAAAATAGAAAATGTGCGAAAACGATTTTTTTCAGCGGAGACGACAGCCATTTTGTTAAAGCGAGCAATAATTTGTAAAATCTAGAAAATGTATAAAACGATTTGAAATCGTACCTTGGATCTTCTAAACATCCTTGTAAATGCTATATACAGGGCCAAAATTAAAAAAAAATCGCAATAAGAAAATTGCCATTATATACAAGGTAAATTTCCAGAAGAATCCATTTAGTTTAAGACACGGAATAAGAAATATATACCCTTATCTGTTAATTGATGATGACAAAGTTTATATGTTAGATGATATGTACATTGATAAATCGCAAATGGGTTGCCCAGCTAAATCCCCGGCCAATACTTACTTTTAAATAATATTAACTGTAATTAAATTTTTTATCAACTTGATTTGTTGCCAGGTACAAACAGGTAAACAGGCGTTATTACCCAGACAGCACACCAAATCCTTTGGATATCTACTAAACATTTCAATATCCACTGAATGTCCAGTCCATGGTGTATATCTATTTTATATCCATGAGATGTAATTTATAGACATGCAAATGTCCATAAATAATAGTAATTATATAGCAAATTATTAAAAAACTACGCCATTGTGGCTAATAGTACTGTTCAGATATTTAAAATTAATTTTTTTAAGGTGTATTCAATATCCCATGGACATCCACTAAATATATCAAAGTCTAGCCGCGAACGCAAACCATGGTGGATATCCACTAGATGTAATTTTTGATTTTGCTTACTAAGTATAGATGGCGATACCATTATATATCTACTCATGCTCAACCCGCCATAATTGAGTTCGATCAAAATTGTTTTCCCAATCAGACTGGAGTCGAGAATTTCCATTTATTGCTGAAGAGTCTTAATAAGGACGACTTTCTCCTTAGTGGGCAAAATCAAATGCAGAGTGTGGAAAATATTTTGAGTATTGAAAATATTTTTTATCTCTGCTATTTTCTTTCGACGTTATTCAATAATCATTGGTTACTTATGAACCTCTATTAAAGATACCCATAAAATATTTTGCTGAATATCCGAATATCTTCTATATCCTGGGACCTGGGATATAGACATTTGGGATATCCATATTAGATCCACTGCATATATTGGATATCCATAAAATATATTCTGTGGATATCTCTGGGATTTCTTGTATTTTCTGGAAGATACCCATTAGGTATTTTGCTGGATATCCATTTGATTATCTTCTATATTCTGGATATAGACGGACATTTGGATATCCATATTAGATCCACTGAATAATTCTGATATCCCGTGGATATATTGGATATCCACAAAAGATATTCTATGGATATCTCTGGGATTTGATGTGTTGTCTGGGTAATATACCCTCATCAGTTGTTTAATTTATTTTTTTATGAAATGAAAGTTTACTTTATTCCCTATCGAACTATATTAGGTTGCCTTGTCAAAAGTGTGTCACATCCATGGTTGCCTAGATTTTAAATGTTAAATTTATAACTATAAATCTTTGTAATCATCAAATAACAGATCAGGATCTATGTTCGTAATACCGTATCTCGTACTAATTTTTATAGTTACAAAAATATAAAATGAAAATGATAAATAAAAAAAATTAACTAAAAAGAATAATATACAATCAGATAAAAAACTGAAATGAAAAGAAACAGAAGAATATAACCCCCTTCTAAAAAAAAATAAAGGGATTTGGTCTATAAACACTGGAAAGGCCAACTAAATTCAAACTTCAAAGCATATGTACTGCTTTAGAAGAGATTCGTTAATAAAATTACATTCGTGATGACTCAATGGCGACCTTGATGAATAAGATATAATGCTCTGCCTGGGCGTGATAAAGCTCCCGTGCATCCAAGGCGGTCCTATAGTGCTCCGCCTTCTATCCGTTCGCTCCTCCTCTTCCGTTTCTCCTCTATGCGCCGCTATCTCGGTTACGACAGTCGGAGCCTCGGTATAAGGCGGTGGAGAGAAAACCGGGAAACTGTCGTCGGGAGAAGAAATGCGCGGGTTCATTTCGGAATTGGGAGGGGAGGAGAACGATATGCGATGCGGATCTAGATAGCCTTCTAGAGAAACCGTCATTACAGCGGAGTACGGAGAAGGAGGAGCTTGGGGATTGGCCAACGAGCTGCGGGGCGTTAGAGTTAGAGGAGCGGGTTCCTCCTCCTCTTCGTCGATCGGGGTGTGGTAGCCTGATTGCTGGGTCATGGTCGAGCTACAGGATGTAGCCGAGGACGATTTTGCTAGAGGCGCTGCTGCTAGACACATACAAATTGATTATTTTTAAGTATTTTTTTTAAGAAAGACATGATGTTAAACAGTATTTTTCGTACCCACAACCTAGAAGATTAATTTTAATTTGTTAAAGACACTTTCTTCGACATTCTGAAAGGATTTTGTTTCTAAAATTTGACAACAAAAGCTGTTGGTTATTATTAATAGTAGATGGAACAATCACAAAACATTATAAGTAATTTGTTTTGATAATAAAGAATTTCTTAATAAAATTTAAATAAAAATAAATATTAATATGTAATTTTAATTTGTAACTAATCTCTTTCAAATGTGTCTTATTCCAAAGCCAAACAAAATGATTTAAATAAATGCAATAATTATATTGATATTATTTCAACTTTATAGGTATCGAGTACAAAATGAATGAAATTAAAATTATATATATAAAAAAAACAACTTTCGTCTGTGATTAATCCATCTGTAAACTCACCTTTAATAGCAGTGATAAATTTTTCACCTTGTATTTTTTTTTGGTTAGCCTTTATGCGCTCCATTTTTTCTCTTATCTTTTCCAACACTCTCCGTTCCGTCTCTTCTTGATCTTTCATTGTCTTTAATCGCATTTCTTCCATAAGTTCGGCTCCTAAAACATAAAGAATTTGATCAATTTATGACAGACATAACTAACAATAACCAACCTCTAGAGGCTAATATAGCTGTAGCTTTAGCATCGTCCACGATATGGAAGAAATTATAACTGTTAAAGAGTCTTTTTTGGAAAATCAACAGCGTGAAACAGATCACGTCCCACGTCAGATATTCATCCGAAATTATACAACCGTTTTCTTCTGCTTTAGGAAAAGCCACCAGGTCCTCTTTGGGTGCGTAGTTCTTTATGCAGGATATACCGAAAATTTGCACTAACCAACAGTACGACCCAGGCATTTCGTGCGGGAATATGCAACCTAAAATCTGGAACGCGCATTTGCACAGTATGACGATAACGTTGAAGCCTAAAAGTCTGTTCCAGCTGAAAATTTTTAAATTTAATATTTATCAGTTATTCAACATACATTTAAAAGTCATTTAACCGTTATCTAACAGTTATTTAAAAAGTATTTAACTGTTATTTAACAAAATAAAAATAAAGGAAAATTATTTAACAGTTTATAACTTATTTAACTGTTTAAAAATTATTTAACTGTTATTTAACAATTATTTAGCATAAAATAAAAATAAAGGAAATTTTTTTAGCAGTAATTCAACATTTTGTAATGGTTTTAATCCTTATTTAACCATTAATTAACAATTATTTAGCAGTTGATATTTATTTAAGAGGGTATTAAAGTTTCTTTAAAAAGTTTTTTTTTAACAATCATTTAAAATTCATTTATCAATTAATTAACAGTTCTTAACCGTTATTTAAAAATGCATTAACTGTTAACTTAAAATAAAAATAAAGGGAAATTATTAAGTTTTTAGCCGTAATTTAATAGTTATCTAATACTTATTTAACGATTATTTAATAGGTATTTAATAGTTAGTTATTTAATAGTCATTTAATAGTTATATATTGTTTTTAACATTTATTTTTCCATTAATCAACAATTTTTGAGTTCATTAACTATTATTTAGCAGTTATTTGATATTTAGTCAACTGTTTTTAATAGTAATTTAAAAATCATTTACCGTTACTTAACAATTATTATTTAACGCAGAAATTTAAAATTTATTTACGCGTTATATTACAATTATTTAGCAGTAATTTATTAGTTTAACAGTCATTTATCAGGAATTTAAAGAGTATTTAACTATTATTTGACAATAATTTTAAAACTGTTAAACAATTATTTTGCAGTAATTCATCAGTTTTGAACATCATTTTTTATCCATTAACAATTATTTAGCAGTTATTTGGCAGTTCATCAACAGTTTTTAAACAATTATTTAGTAGTTATTTAACGGTTTTTAACATTTACTTTACCATTAGTCAACAATTTTTAACAGTTTTTTAGCAGTAAATTAAAAATTTACCAGTTGAACTATTATTTAGCAGTTATTTAACAGTTCAACGTTTATTTAACAGTCATTTAAAAAGTTGTTAAACAATTATTTGCAGTTATTCAACAGTTATGGACATTTTTAAACAGTTATTTAGTAGTTATTTAGGGGGCGTCCATTAATTACGTGAGGTATTTTTGAGGATTTTTTGACTCCCCCTCCCCCCTGGCGAGATTTGGTAAGATTTTCCTTAACTCCCTCCCCCCTTCCCTAATCTCACGTGAGATTTTTCAAAATTCGTGTTTTGGGTGTAAATGTGTTGGATTATTAAAAAAAAAAAACAGTAGAGGTGTGTAATGTGACAATTCCCAACCTTCAATGACGTTAGTAATGACAACATTACATATATGGTTGTAAATAAACATAATTATAAGATTTTCCCATATTTTATTCTAGAAATACTTTTACTATAATTTAATTTACTTTCACGCAATTTCACACCGTTTTCTACTAGAAAAAAAATTACGTGAGATTTACGAAAACCCCCCCCCCCCCCTCCCCCCTAAGTGAGATTTAGAAAGATTTAGTTTTATCCCCTCCACCCCTTGAACACCTCACGTAATTAATGGACGCCCCCTTAACGATTTTAACAATTTTTTAATATTTTAAAATTGATTCAACAATTATTATTATTTAGTAATTTAAAAATTGTTTAACAATTAGCAGTTATTTAACAGTTTTTAACCAATTATTTAGTGAAATTTGTGAATTTATTTATCGTAAAATCGCAAATCGAAATCCGAAAGTTCAGAAATATCTGAAATATGTGGCTGAATAATTTAAAAATTTGGAAAAATCTCAAAAATCCCCCTATGAGATTATCCCCGAAGCCCAAAGGTGAAAAAATACTTGGAAAATTCCTAACGGTTTTTAACATTTATTTAACCATTAGACAACAATTTTCAACAGTTATTTAGTAATTTAAAAATTCAGCGGTTAATTACTTATTATTTAGCAGTTATTTGACATTTATTTAACTATTATTTAGCAGTAAAAATTTACCCCTTACTTAAATATTATTTAGCAGTTATTTGACATTTATTTAACAGTTTAAGTTTTTTTTAGCAGTAATTTAAAAATCATTTTAACAATTATTTAACCGTTATATACAAAATTATTAACCTTTATTTAAAAAGTTTAACCGTTACTTAACATTTATTTAACAGTTTAACCGTTATTAAAAAAAAAATCCGTAATAAAATAATAATATACTTACAGGAATAGAATTTTGTGAATAGGTCTCAGATAAAAATCAGATCCGTGCCACAAAAACAGAAAGGCAAACAGGAGGTAGCCTATTGAGAAGATGTTAACGCGAGAAGTACCAGCCAAGAACACAACAGCCAATGTTATCCATAGAAAACTTTGCAGAACCGCTTTCTTAGCTATGTCCAAATATGTTCTAAAATGAAAATATTTATATGTAAATTTAATATTTTCTGTAAAGATTTTTATTAAACAATTACAGTCATATTTGATGTGATCATGTAAAATGTATATCTTGGTTTCATAGCCGTTTTTACCAGGCTATGGTATGAGCTAAATACGCCACTCTGTGTCCTTTTCTAAGTGTTACTTTATCTCACTCCAATGACCAGTTAATTTTAAATTTACCTTGAAAGAAATTCGAATTTTGAATATTTTTTAATTTTTCATCTCGCACTGCTTGTAAAAATATTTAAAGTCAAAGCGAGAAAAGGCGTAAAGTATTTTAACATCGGTGACACCCAAAGGTGGTCAATTAAAAAGCTTTTAACCAATAGAGAGCCCGCATAATAACAATATTAGATATGTATATTATTTTGGAGTTACATTTTTTAACTTTTGATTTTACCTGACATATGTGATGTAATCAGGAACGGGATTCACAAAATCTTTCTCCTCGGCATGATGGATTATGCTCTCGTTGGACCCACCGGCGTAATTTTGTCCCTCGTAACGTCTTTCGATTCTAAACACGAGCCATTGGCGCGAAACGCCCATCAGTAGCATAAAATCGAATATAAGCTTTTGAACTATCGGCGGGGTATAGTTGTCCAGGAGGAAAGCCCAATCTTGTAAATTTCTCATCGTTTGAATTGGTTCGTCCCACGGGAATTCTGAATAATGTAAATATTTAAGTGAATTACAATGAGATTTCTGTCAATTAACGGTCATTTTTTAGGTTAAATAATTTACCTATACATAAGCTCGGTGGTAAACCTACAGCCATGAAATATTGAAAAGGGATCGAAATTGCTATAAATGCCAAATAGACGACCCATACGTTTGATAAAAATCGTCTTTTCAAACCAAACATTATCAAAAGGCACAAACTGTGAATCAAAGAATACATGTCCATTCTTACACCAATCAGCATCACCATAAGTATGAAGCTAACCTGAAAAATCAAATTTCACAAAAAAATTGGTTCATAATTATATATATTTATTGATCGCCCACCTCCAATCCAAATTTATAGAATCCATAATTGGCTAAATATTTGAAAAAATCTCCTAAACTTTTATCTGCATCCTCTCTGGTCGTCTTGGGAAACATGAAGAATCTGCGGCTAGTGGAGCGCCCTCTCGAGAGTCGATAATTGAATTGTCTCACTTCAACGACCTTCCACAGAGTCATCACGACTATAAATATTATATTCCACTTGACCAATTCCGGTAAATTTTCGTTGGTCTGTTCGAGTTTCTTAAAACCGAGCCACGGCCCGTTGTTCACCATAGTTTCATTTTTATTTGGATTCACGGTGACCTAAACAACATAAAAATGTTCAAAGAGCTGTCAAACGTCAGGTTTAGTTGATAGCTATCAAGAAACTTCGACAGCTGTAAAAATATTTAGTAGCTCTAAGAGGTATCTGACCTTTTAGATACTTTGATGCAGCGACTTACCATGCATGTGACTTCCCATTTTTTCTCGTTGATGTATGATATCTGGTAGATCATACGGCCCAATATTAACGCAGATACAAATAAAGATGTAAAATATGCCACAAAAATTTGACAACTTCTACCGCACGTAAAAGCGATCGACAGTAACAGAACTATGAATATGTAGAGGGCGCATTTGTCATATACGCACATCAACATAGCGAAGAACAGTACGATTTTCAGCATGTGAATTTCCAAAAATAGATAAGCGATATGTTTGGCGTATAAGAGAACTGTCACCACGTTCTTTATCCATTTCTTGAACACTTCCGAAGGAATAACTAAGAAAATACAATTAAAAAAATTGACAAATGTTTAAATTGATTTATTACCCTCTAGATCGTGGTAAGAGATTTCCGAATAATATTTGGAAGGGGCTGACATTTCGCTTTGGTCCATTAAAGCTCCGCCTTGCATGGAGCTGTCATCGAGGTCTTCGTTTTCTATCACTTTATTGGTGTTATCAGACGTGAGCGACTGACGTTTGGTATCGGTTAATTCCATGAAATCGTTATGGAAATAGTGTAACTGTAATACCGTCACTATGACAAAAAACGTAGGAGTAACTAGCCTTACAAACAGCTGTTTGGTTTGGTACTGTTCTAAGCCTATGTCTTGTTGCCTGTAATAAGAATGAGGATAGGGATTTGTCAAGTATATTTTTTCTCTCTAGCTATTCGAAATTTGTTTTATAATTACAATACAATGCGCTATTGAAATCCATGTACAACATTATAAGTGACAAGAGTGTATGATATTGAAAAACCAATTTCAGCATTAGATTCTAAAAATTATTCTACGCATTTTTGTTAAACCAATATATACATTTACGCTATTGCCAGTTCATTGCAAAATGTATGAGAAATATCGTCTAAATAATACCATACTCTAGAATCTAGAAGACCACATTATTCATTTTCTCAAACGTTTAATTAGTTCAGTTGCTACAAACAGAAGGTCAAGAAAACATAAAGAATATGTTTGTCACGCATTTTCTTCAGCAGCCCATACAATAAAATTATATCCTCCAGTTCAATGTTAGTAAATTGCATTATAAAAAACCACTTCTTTAAAAGATTAACAAAAAACACATTCGAAAATTTGAATAAATCGCCACAAAAAACATGGAAACGAAAATGTACGCAAGGTGAAGCCTCTTTTAATATCTACATGTATTTCAATTACGACCTGTAAGCTTTAGAAAAATGTTTATTGATTGTTGGAATGCTAAATTATGCTTACTGTTCTTCTTGTATGTGTAGGTAATCCGCCCAGTAAGACGGGAATCTTTTAAATTGATATGTATAAATTAAGATCAATATGATCATTGAGTAGATGATTACAGTTAACCAAAAACCGAACATAACCTTCCGCCAGGCTTTGAAAGAAAACTGAAAAGAAATTAATCAGTTTTAGTTTTTTTAAATTTTCAGTATTTTTATTAGATTAAATATCTGAAACAAGTACCGGAAATTATTCACAAGATTTTGACTTACCTGGAATGATAAAATGAAAAATAAAAACAGAGCCATATACAAAATTCTAAATACTGTCATTCGTTGTCCAGTTATGGCCACGGCAAACAGCGTGATGGCCACCACCCATATCCAAAATTTGATCAAGAATTTATGCACGAATTTTCCGATTCTCGCCATCAACTCACCACCCGAACTCTCCGGGTCTTTCTTTACACCTGTCATAAAAAAAACAGAATTGTTGGTTATACGGACCGACATATATAAAAAAATAACGAAGGAAATAAAGGTATAAATTACTGAAAACAAAAAAAAAGACACTCCAAATAGGGATCGAACCCACGAGCTTTGGTATACCGTACCAACATAGTACCACTAGACCAAGAACCATTTCATTTTAAGATCTTTACTGCGGATCACAAAAAGAATCGATACAATCAAATCTTTATTACTGTGATTCTTATTTACTATGTCCTTTATACAGTCGAAATTTACAACGACTTTTAACAATCGATTTACAATCGATTGTAAAAGAATCGCTACAGATGGGAATCAAACCAACAAGCTATGATATAGCGTATTAACATCCTAACTGCTAGATTACATCGATATATCGAACATAAAAATTGACAATAAACGAATCAATTGTAAAAATCGTCTGTATAAAAGTAATTATAGTAAATAGGAATGGATTATAAAACGTCGATACTTTTTACAGTAATAAAGATTTCATTGTTAAAAAAAGTCGATTGTAAAAGTATCATTTGTAAAAAAAGAATCGATCGTAAAAAGATCAGACTAAAAAGAAAACAAAAAAATACACCTCAAATGGGAATCGAACTCAAAAAATGATTTATCTAAAAAAAAAAAATATAGTTTTTTTGAAAATGTATCAAGGGTGGAGAAACATGTTGTTTTTTCTATTGTCCAGGGAATATCAAGCAGCAATCTCTGAGAAAAAGGTCAAAAGACTCAAAGAAAAGGGAAGGACTACTTATTTCCACTACTTGTCCTGGAAGGTAATGGACATGTTCGTCAGAAATGTCCAAAAATTACTCATCGGCCATTACTATTAATAAACCATTTGTATATTTCAATGTCATTATTTAGTTAAATATATTTTTAAATGCTGACCTCTACATGGCTTGCGGCCAGTTGACAACGCTGTTGAACCTTCTCTCATTTAAAATACATTAGCCTACCTGTACTGACTGTTTTAACTGTAGCCTAAACTATAATAATTTATTCTGAATTGTCTCCATCGCACTAAAAGTATTAAATTACCTGCAGCCCCTACTGTGACTTGCAACGGAGCCACCATATCGGCTAGCGCACTGGTCTGTCTCTTTTCCATTTTTTCCTGCATGTACTGCCTCAACGTAATCCAAAACATCACCGTATATAAGGATTTGACTAGCAGCGGAATACAAGCAGGTCCTTCGGGTTTCTTGAATCCGATTTCCTCCAAATCGACGCCTTGCGCTTGCGTCGGCAGCTCGGCTTCATTGAAGTTCATCGAATAAATATAGGCGGATATTAGCAGGAATAGGGCATATAATACCAGGAACGGGCTGGAACTCAGCATTCGTTTCCTTTGATTCGGTATGAGCCATATTATGTTGGCCCATAGTAGGAGGACGAACGTTAACCAACTTAGATATGTTATACTCCATGCCTAAAAAATTTAAATACATCAATTTTATTCTATATAGAACATTTCAATTTGGGTTTATACAATATTATTCTAAATAGTTTCGAAGGATTGAAATTAAATCTAGCTAAACAATTTTATTTTTAGTGAAAACAATCTGATTTAAAGTTCCGGAAATTTGTCGGTTAAAGATAATAATAATAATAATAATACTCTCCCTAATTCACCCCCTTATGAGTAAATTTTAACCCTTGAAGTCGATTAAGCGACTTGTGTAGGGGAAGGGACGGATATTATTATTTGCTGTGGCGTTCCGGGGCGACTTAAAGATGTGGAGTGAGGGTAGCCATATGTGAGTAGTAGGGATTAAGTGTAAGGGGTTAAAGAAAAGGTCCTTTATTTCTCACAAGTCAATTTAATTGGCGACCAGTTTCGAAGCTGTCACTTCATCATCAGGCACACCTAAATGGAATGTCAAGGAGTCAGTTGTACAACTGTTTTGTCCACTATTGTTACATGCTTACATTATTATTATTATTATTATATTTTAACTTACACCTGAGTTTGTAATTAATTATGAAAATATCTATTTATTTAATTATATGTATTTTTGTTTATTTTGCTTTTATTTTTTGTTTTTAATTATTTTTTTGGTTTGTATTATTTTTGTTTTTTCCATTGTTTCTTTTTTGTTTTATCATTTACTTTATTTTTTCGTTTCATGTTTACAATATTTTTAGGGCAGCTCAGCTACTTACAATCTTGTATTAGTTTTTTTTAACAAATTCATATATTTTACAAACTTTAACATCGTTTAATGAAAGCAAAACTTCAATGTTTATTGGTAGAGGTATACCAATATTAACTACTTCTAAGTACATTGTGTCAGTATCTAGCGAACTTAGGACACACTCTAAAATTTATGATTGAGATCAGCAATTTCATCACAAATTAAACATAAATTATTATCTGATCGACCAAATTTTTCCTTGTAGGCAGGATGTATAGCATGATTACTTCTCATATGACAAATAACTCGGATAATATACCTATTTACTTCGTTTTTGAACAAGGGACACTTTTGAATATTAGGTTGAATGTTTTTGTATTTCTTTCCTTTTTCTTCTTTTGAATATGCATCTTGCCAAGTTTTAAACATTGATAATTTAGATTAAGGAATAAAATCTGATTTTGGAGTTTTAATATTTTTATTAGTTCCCGAAACAGTAGCCTTTTTGTTAGGAAATCCACTTTCTCATTGTTAGAAATACCTACATATGATTTTATCTACGCCAACGAAATTTCTTTATTTTGTTCCAAACAGTGGTAGTTAAGCTTAAGAATTTCTGAGGCTATATAGTTGGTAGGACTGGTAATGTTCCATTTTGCAAAGTATTCTACTGCACTATCAGTAAATATAACATAGGTACTTAGATTTATTTTCTTGAAGACATACGTTAAAAGCTTCTTTTATAGCAACAAGTTCAGCATTGTATCTTGACATTATACTGGGAAGTTTAAATGAAATTTCATAATTTTTGTTAGTATACAAAATTGCACATCCAATTGGTTCCCAATTTTAGATCCGTCTCTATATATGTTTTTAAAAATATTCCATTTTTTTATTAAATCTTCTTTAAATGCGTTTTTAATCACTAGAGAGTTTTCATTCAGTAGATTTTTGTTTATATATGTTTTCAATGGGGTTTTTAAAGCTGAAAAATGTAAGGACCATAATGGAATTTCATTTTGTTGTAAGGAATCATTTCAATGGTAGTTAAAAAAGTATTATTTAGACATGATAAAAGGAAGTCAGGTTATCAACCACAGAAATTACAATAATTACTGAAATGTACAATGCCCTCAAGATTGAAAAAGACATTTGAACTGGCCAAAAAATTGGGCAGTCAATAGTTGGCTTGATAGTCGAACAGATGGACAATGAGAAAGGAGCTAGTGTGATAGTGAAAAGTGAAATTATTTTCAGCATTAAAGATTTATAATTTTACCCAAGAAGAAAAGCCAAAGCAAATTAGTTATTAAATAAAATTGAGGATAAATGAAACAAAAGCAAAAGTCCTAATAAATAACAGGCAGACATATGTGAGAAACTGTGAAATTACGTCTTTTTTGATATATAATTTTCATAGGGGATTTTTCATTTCCATATTTCCAAACTTGCAATTAAGTTTTTCGGATCTCAATCGATTTTTCTCACTTTACTTTCTTTCATTTCACGTATACGGAGGAACGTACTCAAAAATTTAACACTGATGAACGAATGAAGGACCTTAGACAATTATTCTAGTAATTAGATTGTCATCCTTCTACACGATGCCACAAGGGTGGCTTTGAGAAGAACTGAGAGAGCTGGGACGGAATTAGAATTTGTGTGCGCCGACGAGAGTGGGAATCTGATTGTCTTCAAATTTACGAATTCGGATGTCAAAACCATATGTTTTGATAGGTCAACTGCTAAGGGCATGGGCGGCTACCTTAGAATATTATGTTCTAAGGCGGCTACAGTCCGGAGGTTCCAGGTTCGATCCCTGGTCGATGCACTCATTTTTTCTAGTTTTTCAATTTTTCTTTGGTTGGTTTTCATTTTGGGAACATGGGGGTGAATTTTTCATAATTTCGTAGGAAGAAATGGGGATTTTTCATTTTTATATTTCCAAAATTGAATAATATGGTTAAGACTTTGAGTTTTACTTTCTTTATTGGACGTACTTATATTAGTACATTATTTTTAGTTTGTCGCTATTGTTTAAATACGACTTAGGACTTTACAAGAGTAAACTTTGTCAATTAATTAAACATGGAACCAAAGTTTTTACCAGAAAAACTGTCAAGGTCGAATTAAAAACATTTAACTACACAGTCAAATATTATGTGGATCACATAAAATATAGGAAACAGTAGTACCATTTTTTATATCTCTATTATCACAATGTATGTCGCTCAGGCGTTGCAACTAAGGTATTTATAAGGTTGAAAGATGTAGCCGGTTAGGTTTGAAATTCGAGATTCGGTATAACGAAGTTAATAAATGCACCTGAAACGGAAGCATCACCAGCATTTCATTAAAAAATTCAAACAAAGCACACTATTTTTTCGTAATAGCTTTTTGTTTGTCTTATTTTTAAGCATAAATATTTATCATCGTTCTTCTTGCTTTAGATTAAAAAGTAAAGTTGTATATTTCCTATATGTTACAAGATTCTTCACGTTTTAAGTCAGTGAATAAAAACTGTTACTGTGGTTTTTAAACCAGCGTGTTTTACTTTCCATTGGCTAAGTCATTTCAGAAAAAGAATAAATATGATTAATTCCTGAATTACTATACAGGGTGAGATCAGCTATTATCTGCAAATGCAAGATGAATTGAAGACCTTGGCGTAATAAGGTTACATGCCCACATTAAGTAAGTTTTAAGAAATTGAGTTTTAAATTCGTTTTAAATCTGTCAAATACAAATAAAAAGACTATTTAAATATTATTATGAAAAATAGCATTTTATTTCGGACTAGAGGTAAAATAATTTGTATGTGGCTAGTAATATCCTAGTTAACAGATGTTTTGAGCTAAAACAGTTATTTCTCGACAAATTGTGGCTTGTATCCTTCTTACACCAAGGGTTTTAATTGCAGCATCTGATAAAAGGACGTAAGTGCGCAGACGCATGTCGAAGCTTACAATTATCATTTTCTACATCGATAGCAGTTTAATGTTATCATAACTATTAAGTTTAGTTTTATCAATCTCAATAAAGCGTTTGATACAGTAAATTAGTTTTTTTATAGGTTATTTAAAAATTAAAAAGGTGTTTTAAGATTTAGTAAAAAAAAAAAATATTCAAAAAGTGGAAAAAATCTTACCATCATGATGATATTAGTAGCGATATACGACGATCGTACCACCTTTTGAATAATGGCTTCCAGAGCAAAAATGAAGTTATGAAAAAGCGTAATGTCATACTCTTCATCGTCGTCTTAAAAATAAAAAAAATAATAACAAATCAGATGTATATTTTAACAAATTTTTCAAATTAATTATAAAAAGGGTCATTACAATGTTTATTCATTCCTAACGTATAATTTGTAAATCATAAAATCAATTACTCAATCAGTTTTTGAGAATATACGAGGGTTATTCATCAAATAAATTTTTTCATATTATATACAGGGTGGTCTAGTTTATATCGTCAGGATTTCACCAGCTGATGTTGGTAAAATCCGGACGATATAAACTGGACCATCCTGTATATTGAATCAACTACAAAATATAGTAGTTTGTACAACAAGAGTGGATATGATCGCCATATCGCACGAAGACAAAGTTTGAACCAAATGCGCTAGTTTCAGCTCCATCGCCACACATAACATTTTAGTTTTAATATTCGTAAATAAATTGACGTCATTATAGTTTTATTAAAATATATTATTTATTTGTAAATATAGATAAAATAAAAATGATATTATTTATCGATTTTACACAAGAATAGCTCATTTTAAATTTTAATGAATATAAAATCTCAATAACTAAAAAATATACTGACAATTAGTTTGAGAGAATCGTCACTCACTTGAAATTTAAAAAAATAATAGTGGCCAAAATATGAATTATAATTGGTGGATTTCTTACTAGGTAGAATGGATATGAAATATACTCTTTAAGTTGAACACAATGGCATACTTTTTCGTTTTGTAGTATGTGCGTAGAATATATCCATGTGGGTGTAGAAACAAAGTATTTTCTTTACTTTTGCATGAATTTATCCAATTTTTAAATTTAACGTCACAATTAACCTTAGAAATCTTGATATAGGTATACCCTAATGTCAACAATCTAATGACAAAATAATGACCCTCTGGAAAAATATAATCAGACCTTTACCGAGGACATCCATTGGTATATCTTCATTGTCGTTTACTGTAACACTGCCCGTGGAATCTTGAATCAGCGAAGCTCTGTTGGGGTGTGCCGTTTTTCGCCTCGGACTAACTCCTCTAAGCAACTAAAAGAAATCGCATTCAAATTTTTTTCATGTTTAGCAACGTCTTCCGAAAATGTTAAATGCAGGAAAAATAATTGCCTGTTTATTGTTATCACTGATCGCATCTCATTAAGCCACTGTATTTTCCAAAAAAACAAACGTTTTTACCAAAATGCGACCCAAACAAATAGGTTATATCGTCACATTTTTTATTTTTTTAAAAGTTTCATTTTAGAAAAAGTAATTTTCTGAATTATTTCTTTGTTAAGAAAATAATAAGTAGTTTCGTGAATTCCCATTGTAACTTTGAGGGTTATCATAACAAGCACAAGCGTTACCATAACAAACACAAGTGTTACTATAACAAACACAAGTGTTACCATAACAAACTTAAGTGTCCCCATAACAACCTCGAGTGTTACCATAACAACCTCGAGTGTTACCATAATAACTACGAGTGTTACTATAACAACCTCGAGTGTTACCATAACAACATCGAGTGTTCCCATAACAATTACTAGTGTTACCATAACCTCGAGTGCTTCCATAACAACCTCTAGTTTTACTATAACCTCGAGTGTTTTCATAACAACCTCGAGTGGTATTGTGCGATTACTTACCATCTGGTTTCCTCTTTTAATTTTATAAGTTACTTGTGATTTTAAATTTTCGTAAATATTGTTGAAAATGTGTATTTTTAAACGATTTGGTTTAAAATAAAAGCAGTACATAGAAATTCGTAAATATAATTTATTATTGAACAGGCGGATATGAAATCTTTAAATTATTTAAATTTTATAAGCAAGCGAATTTAAATTTAAGCTATAAAGCAGATGATGCATTTTCTATTTTTTCCTACATTTAACAATTTAGGTTTTCATTGATTCTAAATCTAAAGCATGATGTACATTAGTAATTTTATTTTGCCCGAAAAAAAAAAAGGTAGAAATTAGGTTGCTATTTTTTTAGTTGATGCCCTTAACCATTTCAAAAACTAGTTTAATTTAATTTGATATTCCTCATCAAAACATAGTGATATTTTGTATTTCTTAAAATTTTATGGTTGGTTTTTAAATTTAAGTCATTATGATTTAATCTTTAATAGATTAAAAACTATGTTTTTATTAGGTAAGATCTACAGTATGGTTCAATTGAAAGGAATAAAAAATGTATTATTTATTTATAATGAATTTATTCATCTAATTTACACCATGCTGTATATAAGTAGGGTATATTGTAGTATTTAGAATATAACTGATTTTAAAAATAAACTAATTATTTTTATCCTAATTTCTACAATTTCTTAACGCTGAACGAACCGTCACCGATAAAAAAATGAAAAAAAATATGAAACAGAAATGAAAAGAAATAAAAATACATACGGGGGTCCTTTCGTTCGTCTCGGCTTTTTTTTCTTTCTCTATAGCACTCTAAAAAAAATAATGAAAAGAAAGCAAAGCATAAAAAATTAGTAAACACAAATGATAACGAAACGCAAAATTGGTTAATAAATGTTAAATAAAGCCCAAAAATCGTGTAAAATGTCATGCAAGGAACATACTCCAATATGCAGAGGTTTTTTTAGGACTAAATTTGTAAAACATCCAAAATTAACATTATATAATAGCCAATTCTAGAAATAAAAACTAAGTTTTTCATTAGAGTTATACGATTAATACATTTGGCAAAACTTGATAGTTGTTTCATACTTCTGTCAATTTATGACATTTGTCATTCAAATCAACATATTTACAAGGCGTGCCTTCCCCTACACAAGTCGTTCAGTCGACTTCAGGGGTTGAAATTCACTCGTAAGGGGGTGAATTAGGGAGAGTATTATTATTATTATAGACCTCTCAAATAACTGAAGTGACACTATAGTGTACACATTATTATATCTGTATATATTTGTCATGTTTTTTTTTATATCTATACATGTACAAACAACTGATACTCAAATATTTTTGAACTTTAAGATCAGTATGAACAATAGTTGTTAACTGTACCCTTTTACAAATTTAGTCAGTTTTTGTGCATCTTGGAGCATCTACAACAAAAAAAAATGGCGTCGACGTGTCTATATGATATAATTTATTACATAGTTTACTAAATTTTTGGCTTACTCGAACTTTACGAGAAGCTTTCTGCCACTTTTGTGCGGCCGTCGGAGTCAAAAGTTTTTGTTTCGACAGTCTCTTCGACACCGACCGCGTCAGCTTTTCCTCCATGTGAGAAAACGTGCTTCCTTGTTTCTTTTGCTGAAAACAGGTTAGTTTTTCTGGTTAGTATAGGTTAAGTAACAACGTTGCCATTGCTGAAGCTTCTAGGAATAGATAAATAGTTTGGACGGTCTTAACAACACATGAAAATACAAGATTTCTAGCAAAAAGAATGTAAGTGACAGAAGTAGGTAGTATTATGTTTAAAACGGTTTTTTTTGTAGGTTTATGTAAATGAAGAGTTTGATTAAAGTAATTCTAAGTCGGTCATAAAGTTGCCATAAAAAAATAAAAGTCAGAGTAATGAGTTTGTCTCATGCGGAATTCTTCAGTAATGCTTAAATGCATTTAAATTATTGAGACTAAGCCGACTCTCAGCCGATAGCAACATCCTAATTACAAAGTTCTTGTTCTAACACGTTGTACTCGCCATGGGACATCGATTCATTCCTTGTCAAACGAAGGTTCTGTATTGGGAAGCGTAGCTAGCTAATATTGTTTGTTTACACGATTTATTTGACAACGGAATTCGCCGTACTTATTCTTGTTCTTTGCAGAAATTATTCTTCGTTATATATAAGATAATATACTCGTAAGTGATTACTTGTACTACGTAAAAAGGCTTTATAAAATGCTCGGAAATTTAAATATTTTCACTTTCTACATATATCTTCATTTTGTATATATTCCTATGAAAAGAATCTAGTTCCTATTACCGCTATAATTGATTCCACCAATCCAACTTTATGCCTCTAAAATTATTTTTGCTACCTTTTTAACAAGAAATCCAGGAATAATTTTCCAGCTATCATTAACAATCAAAAATCATTGAATATATATTAGTGTATATGAGCATCAATGCCAACTTTAATTCCCTTCCGGCCCTGTACAGTACAACATAGCTGAAACCGCCGACTATATGTGCAGCAAATAAAAGAGCAGAGCTCAGTTTGCTCGGGTTTTTCGATGTGATCACATGGATCTTAATACATTATAGACAAATAGCCGCGGGGAATCCCACCCTACAATCGTTAGATACTTTATAGACGAAGTGGTGAATTTTGAGATGTTGGCGTCGGCGCATGTCGCGGCTTTTGACATTCCTGTCAATCTATACAGTTTCAGTTTTTCGAAACAGATATTAATCACAGTCACCCATTCATTATTCAAGCCTATCTATTGCAATGTGTATCACTGCGCATCTAGAACCGGACCAATAGAAAAGTTATTACCTAATGATCGTGCGATATTTGAATAATATATAAATAAAATGTAATGTATTTTATTTATATTAATTGAATAGTAAATAAAAATTAAATAATTTTATCAATGGTTAGTGCTAAAAAAGGGTGTGTGAAACCTATATTTTCATACTAATTTATACAAATCAATATGTTCTGAGGAATTTTGACGGAGACCCTTAAACTGAAGTAGAAGAAAATGTTGTGAAAACAATAACATGATAAATTTTTAAATGTTTATCAGGTAGGTAATTGTTAAAAACAAATATATATTTTAATAGCTATTAAAAATTGAATACGCCTCTGTGCAGGCACGAGCCCTTAGTAACAAATATTTAAAACGTAGTCACACCGGATATGTAATCAATTATAGACAGAAGATCGTGACGCCTACTTTGACATAGGTGTCTGAACAGTTACATCGCCACGCAATATTAATTCTAGACAGGGTTTGACTTAACGAGGCGCATCACTGTCTTTACCAGAAAGGATCTTTGATTTTTCTTATTTATTTCATTATCATATTTCAAATTAGAACACTTCGGCATGCGTTAAGAGATTGCTGTAGTGGGCAAATATATTTTCTGAGAAAAAGATAATTTTAAAAATGTTGTAACTACATAGTACAATACAATATACAAAAATGAAATAAAGAATGTGAACTTTAATATTCTTGAGCCGAGCACATTATTTTAAACCTTCTACAAGACGTGTCTGTGCGTTTTCTTACATCTACTACATTACTCAAAACCCCCATGTCAAGTTTTGGGTAGAGTAAAAATAAAAGTAGTCTATAAGAAGTGAGTATAAACAATAAAAATGGCTTGAATTCTGCCTTATAACCTTGTATAAGCTGCACAGTATCAGTTGAAATGCAGGTGCATTTAGAAATGCTGTTAGATGATCGACTCATTTGAAGCAAGTTGTTATCACTTGCAATATGATACATCTGACAACGATTATGAAACGCATATAATATAAAAGGCCAGGAAAAAAGTATACGAGCCATACCTCATTTCTATTAATTGTAGACTGCAGTATATTAATATTCATAAACCAATTGGTAAATATTTACAATGCACTAATTATTAATTCTTCAGCTCTTTTACTGATCGGCTTTTACATGATAACTTACGCTGCTGCAGATAAACCATTAGGTTTGAAAATTTCAGACTGATGGAGTTTTGCAAATTTATAACAAATCGGCAGAATCAAAATTAACATTTTTTTATTAGCGAGTCAACTTTTTTTATTGCACAATATAATCCATCCATAGTGAGAAGTGGAAAACAAACAAATAAATATTCCGACACATACACAGTACCCTCAAAAATAAAATGTTTGGGCTGATATTTTAGCGGACTAAATTAAATGCCTTTTTTTGATTGATGCTAAATTTAATGCTCAAAAATATTTAGATTCGATACAAAATCAAGTTATTCTTACAGCTCAGGTTAATTTCGAGGATATCTGGTTTCAGCAAGATGGACGCTAAGTTCACAAAGCACGTTTGGTAATCGATTTTCAGCAGTGGCGAAGTAAGAAAAATGTTCATACATTAGTCCAATTTTAGAGTAAAAAAAATATTTTACCTTTTTTCACAACCGTTTTTGAAGAATTATAAATTATTTGTCACTTACAAATAATGTTTAGTCATACAATCAGGAGAATCTACATAAATATTGTCTTCATTTAATTAGAGACCGCAGTTCATGCATTACTAACTTAGTAAACTTTAACTTGAAGCTTTATGATTGGTAAAAGTAAATAATATCTGATGGTAGGTATGTTTACATTGGCGTTGGGTTTGTAAACGTTGGCGTTGTATACAAAGTATAGATATGGTCGTGCACTCACAATGTCTGTACCCTATGGCTCGTATACTTTGTTCCTAACCTGTATTATATAAAATTTAGAAATATATTTATTTCTAGATCACATAAAAGTTTAAAAACTATTTAATTTAGTCATAAACAAAACGTCTTCAAAATATTAACCAAGTCTATTATAACTGTCAAGTTTGTTTGTAACACAAATTACGTCATCACTAATACAGCGTTTACTCCAGTTTACTCAAAGGACTCTACAGTTCAATACACGCATGTATTAGGCAATATTTGTTTATGGATTAGGCCGAAGCTGACGTTAGTGATAGAATACTTTTTAATGCATGCACCATATCAATTCACAAGTGTTTTCTGATTCTGTGTTGTTAGATCCCTAATTTGCGCGTTAATGCATTCAAAGCATTTGAAATCAAAACTAATTTAATCCCCATTGTTACTTTCCACGGAATGGGCATGCATATCCATGTAAATCACATGTATATCCAACGGTAATTAGTTATCTGTAAAAAATGTCACACATCGTTGACTTACCTCCGGTTTCATTAGTTCCTTACTTTCTAGCACCAACAAGAAAAATAATAAATACAGTACTACGGGGTAAATATAAAAAGTCAGTTCTCTGTGGAAATAATACAGCCAAAATCTTGTGTCCAAATCCATCGTTTGCGACGCGGCAACGTGATGCGTGAAATTCGCTATTATGTCGGTACCGTTTTCGGGTACGGTCGCATTACCGGATTCGTCTGTATATGTGAATCCGGTCGGATTAGTGTCTACCACTGTCAGATTGCTGGTCTGGTGTAAATCGTTCGGATCTCTTACGTTGGTTGCAAACGGTAGCAAATCAAAATATCTACAAAAAAAGAATAAGTGTATGCAGATTGTCAGCAGAATCACCTATAATTGTTTTTACATAAACTTCTAAACATTTTTATTCGAAAATTGAGAAATGCTACTAGGTACCATTAACATTTCCTAAAAAGATATTTAAAGGTGACAAACTTGGTATATTGGCTAAGGTGATTAACAGTTTCGTTGCAGCCAAGACAGGTTTAGGTTTTTTGCTTACTGTCTTGGGTAAAAGAAATGTCCTGTTTAGTTCCGATTTTACAGTCCTGTCCAGATTTTCCCGGATTTAAGATCCTTCAAGCATCTATTTTTCATAAAACAGTTGAAGGAGAGCAAATCTCGGTCGTAGAAACTTTAAAGAAATTTAAAGTCTGATTTTTAAATAAGATAAAAGAAGAGATACCTAATTCGTTTATCCCATTAGGTTTAAAAAACAAGTTTAATTCTGTGGAATTAGAACACAGAAAAACATAACATTGAAAAGCAAATTTTCGAATTGTACCTTACAGCTCTAATCTAAAATAGTGGGAAAATCCCGAATCAGAAAGGGTAAAATAAAAATTGTTTGGGTTTTGTTAAATAAAGAACCAAATGTTGACGAAATTCAGTTATGTCTGCCTATTCTGGACAGTCCAAATAATGAAGAGAACATAAATGAAAATGATTTATTTGATGAAGTTACTACACCTATTCAAAATATAAATTAACCAACCAAAAATTTAAAAAGTTTGAATTTAAATAATATTTCAGTAAAAGGGTTAAAATTTTTTTGGCTGAAAATAATTATACCCATTGCAATGAAATTTACGTTGCACGTCAAATGATGAAAATTGTTTATCAAATTGAACAGATAAATCATTGCCGTTACGTTTCTCAAGATTTGAGTGGGCAATTGGTATATGAAACGGGCAGTTGCCAAATCAATAATTCTTTTTATGACATGTATAACTGAATTGTCAAACTGTCAACAGTATTATTTTTTTGTGTTTAATAAACAATTTTTTTTTATTTTTAAAATGCCTATAGTAGATTCGTGATCGAACCGGAATAATATATCTGTCAGATTAGGAAAGGACCAGGCACCTTTTTTAGGGAGAAATGGCGTTCGGTCAAATTTTCTAAAACTTCGCAAGGTGATAGTAGTCAACGTAGTGACCAAAAGTGTCCGTGGCCCCAATCCATTCCTATGGCTAGTTTTTGATATACATGGTGTTAAAGTTCTAAAATAGCAATTTTTCATAACGCCGTAGTCGGAAATTGGGTGCAACAAGTAAGGTTTTCTATGCCGGAGGTGGTTTTTAACTCTTACACCATATATTCACATTAAAAGACATTCGTTACAGGGTGATTCGAAGATTTAGGGAAGATATTTTTTTTTAATTCTAAAATCTTTATTACAACGGCGAAGCAGTTACTATCCCACACTTTTTAGTATATCAAGGTTTTCAAACTCAAAGCGATCTACTTCAAGGGTGAATTATACAGGGTGACCCAGAAAGCAGCCTAATAAAGCATTTCTTGTTTATTGCATCATGTGCGAACCTACGTGTATTTCTCTCGAATTGGATTTTTGAAAACCACCTTTAAAACAATTAGAATACCCTTTACTATATATTATATACTTCCTTAATAATTATTTACCGCAAGTAAAATTGGTAAAACATCACAGTTATCTGCACCACCCTGTATTAAAAAATGAGTCGGTCAAAAATTTATATTTTTATTTCTATAAAGTAAAAATGATATAATCTTTAAGAGTGTAAAAGATTCATTCTATTTGTTTGACTAATTTTACCTGTACGCAAATCTAAACACCAAAAGGATAAAAATAGTAAGAAATGAGATTATATAAATCTAAAACCGTAGCAGTTTGTTGTTATTACGGTATTTAAAGTTATTACGCTGTACAGTTCATCAAATTTCTAGAGGCTTTCGACGGCTAGACAGAGAAAGCACTACTGACAGGCATCCCGACGGATTTACGCAATGAAAGTACACTCTGCGCATCAAGTATTTCACTATTTCATTCAGACGTAAATGTCAGATGTAAATTTCGCTAAACATTTTTTATTTTCGTTTGTGTTTTTTGCTCATTACAGTTTAATAGAACCTAAGTATGGAGTTTAATAGCAAATTAAGAGGCCGCGTGATTAACAGTCAATCTCGCGAAATAATAGCCAATGTTATAGAGTTTATGAGAAGAGAAGGAAACTTTAATTCACCTTCAATACCATTTAAAAATGTAAATGATCGTGTTGCTGCAGCCACAGGAGTATCTAAAAACACTGTCGTCCGCATTTCTGGAGAGAAAAAAAGAATAGATAACCGTGAGATATCGGAATTTTCATCACCAAGAAAAACCATTAAAAAACCAAAAACAGTTAATGATATAGATGAAGCTGCACAAGAATCAAATTTTATTTTTTTATTATTAGATAGCTATTTTTGTTTCTGAGTTGTGTTCATTTACAGGCTCAATTTTTTTCCGTTTCTCCTTTTTGATTTTATATGGGGTTTCAAGTTGTTTTTGACTTATTTCGACGTAAATCACAACAACACACTTTTTTAATAAAGCAAACAAGTGTTAAGAGGTATATGTACGTGTAAACTACAATTACAAAAAATTGATATGAAACCCATGAAACCACCAACAAAAATGTAAAGCTAGCTTCCGTACTAGAACATGGTGTATTCGTCGAGATAATTTATCGTTTTGTTTAATAGATCAAGAAATGTAAATATTCCCCTGTTATTTTTTATAAAATTATAAGAGAAATAAATTTTTTTCTATTTTTCTTATTATTTTGTAGAAAAACAAAATTTCGAAAATTTTAGTAATGTTTCAGAAACAACCGTTATTAATAATAGGTACCATTTTCCTTAATAAGGTAGAAATAAAATATAAACTATTTCCACGATTTACAAAGGCCTACAAAAAAATTATAGGTATTTTCCGCTATCCTATAAAATTTATATTTTCTGACTCAATTTCAAAAGGTTGAAGGAATTCCAAAACACCTTTTATGGCATAATAATTATTTTCAATTCTACATACTATCTTTAGCTGCTTTTAAAAACGTTCTAAGAAAGTCCAATCAGACCAATTTAATCCCTAAACTATTCCACACTTTTAAAATTTAATTACCTAAAAATATTAAAAACTATTTAAAATAACTTGTTTAGCAGACTGTACAATAGCTATCTTAGTCACACGTAGCGCGTTCTCTGTCTGGGCGTCGAACACCTCTAGAAATTTGATGAACTGTATTGCAGTAAAATATTATATAAAAGAAACATTATTTTATTCAACATTTTTAAGAGCCTTTCTAAAAAAAAACAACGTTAAATTTTAATTTTTTTAGGACCTATTGCTTCTACAAGTTCTTCTGCCTCCCAAACATTCTATTTACCTTTAAAGAAATAATTGTATTTACATATATTTATTTATTCATTTATGAAGATCAGATACTAATCAACAGGGTGGAACCAGAAAAAAATGTGAATATGTGGTGTAAGAATTAAAAAACCACATCCGGTATAGAAAACCTTAACTGTTGTACCCAGTTTCCGACTGCGGCGTTATGAAAAGTGGTTATTTCAGAACTTACACCCTGTGTATCAAAAACTAGCCATAGGTTTGATTGGATTGGGGCCATGGACACTTTTGGTCACTATGTTGAGTACTATCTCCTAAAGAAGTTTTAAAAAATTTGTACGGACGCTATTTCTCCATAAGAAAGGTGCCTGGTCCTTTCAGGTGTGGGTGCCAATATTATTATTTACGGGGTACATAAAATAATCATTTAAAAATATATTTTGTTTAAATATGTATTATTGAGTATTAGTTGTAGTAAATTTTAATACTTTTCATTGGCAAGTGAAAATGCATCGCAAACAAAGTATATCTTAAAAAAAAGGACAGTCAATTTCTATTTTTGAGGAGCATTGCCTCTGTTTTAGTAATTTCTGTTCTACAGGGTGTAACTAAATAAGTGTAAAACATTTAAGGGGGTGATTCCTCACCTCATATATATGAAAGATCCTATCTTTTTTTCGGTGAGGAATCACCCCCTTAAATGTTTTACACTTATTTAGTTACACCCTGTATATTGCATTTCTCTTTTTTTGTGTGGTTGTTCAAAAATAAAATATATAGGGTGTCGCAATATTGTGTGAAAATTCGATATTTCCGTTATTGTAAAAAATATCAAAAAATGTTATTTACAAAAGTTGTAGACAATGTTAAGGTGATTACAGCACCCCTTATAATTTTCGGACATGGATATCTCAAAAACTATTTTTTTTAAATTCAAATTTTGTCAAAATAAATTAGGCAATATCTAGAATCTGCAAATATTTTAAAGTTTTAATTCCGTTTTAATTCAGTATGTACACATTTGTACAAACATAATACATATTTCAACATTTACGTAAATAAAAAACATGAGGTGATATCGACTTTTTTGGACAATTTCTGTCCTGTTTTTTGGATTTGTAAAGTTGGTCACCTTAATATTGGTTAACAATCAAAAGATAATTTATCACATAGTAAATGATTTTAACAAAATATCATATTTTTTTTTTTTTTTCATAAGAGAACGTGGAAAGTTTTGTATCCTACAATTATTAGATAGGTACAAAAAATTGTGATATATAGGAGATTGTTAAGGTACGTACATATATCTCCGAGAGAAATTTTTGTGTGTTTACACTGGACTAAACAACTGACAGACATAAATCTCATGCAATAAATGTCAGATGTAAACGTACCTTAAGACTTGTTGAATAACTTGCTGCAAACCGCTCGAGACATTTAAACTTTGAACTGGTCAACTAGTCTTATGATAGTTTTCAGCATGTGTTTGAGCAAGTAGAACAAACTTTATGTCATAGTCTATCTTACCTGGCATAAGTCCCCTCTTCTGGCAAATACTCCTGGACGATCTTAAAATTAATGATATACAGGGCGCACAAATGCAATATCACCACGGGTATAAGGCACCTGAGGACCGTTGCGAATCCCCTTTTCAGTTGTTTGTAGCACGCCCACCAGGTGGCGATGCCCAAAAACAGTACGTAGTACACGCCAGCCTCTACAGATGGCCTCACTACGCCGGCGAGACATAACATTATTAATGTAGCATATCGACCTGAAAAAAAAAATAAATAAATAAATAAGATGAAACTAGAATTTAATAGGAGTCGTAAAATGAATTTTATTCTGTATAAAACAGGTGTTTTATTGCTAATGCAGAATTATGTTATGTCTAAGTCGTTAAATGAAGAAAACATGTGCGAACTATTGATTGAAGTTTAATTATTTAGTAGTCACTTGAATAAACATGCGAAGAAGGATATTTGTATTTAATCTTCAGTGTACCAAAATTTAAAATTATTTCTTTGGTTAGGTAGTACAAATGTACAGAACTCTAACAGCCACTTTACAGTTCGCATTGCACGTCTGCGCACTAACGTCATTTAAGATCAACTGTTGCAACTGCAAAAAATAGGAATATCCTGAAAATACAAGTCGAAAAGCGGCTGAAATTATGAAAAAAAAAAAAATGTTTGAAATGAACATTGCCAATCATTTTGAAAATCCTTAGAGGACAAATTTGTAGAATTTGACCTGTTTTGCGTTGATACGAAAAACTAACACTGGAACATATAAGAATTAAAGAATTATCAGTGATATATTGTAACGCTTATTTATTTTAAACAGTTTATTATGCTAATTTATTTACACAATACAATTAATACATATAAGTACTTAAATACTAATTTATATATATTAGCACTATTAATTTATATAAATAATATAACTTTACATAACAAATTCTTTATATCCACTAAACTTCAAACGGCAAAAGTCTACATAAAAATGCTGCTGGTTACCAGAAGTAAGTAGTATTGCCGTCGTTACTGCATCGGGTAAACTCTATTACTCGAGAAACTTTATGTAGACAGACTGCCAGACAAGCTGGTAACAACGGAGGCAGGACCGGGCTGGTTTAAAACAGCTCGCATGACATTGTTTTATGTAATTATCAAGTAAGCAAAATTACAATTTGTAAAGTGGCTCTAAACCAATTATAAAATGGTATAGGTATTACATTACTAGTGCGAACAAGTGATGTACATTATTTTACCTACGACCACAAGACAGAGTTTACCAAACAAATACAAAACCACGAAATCTGACTATAGAGGTTGAATCTAGATGCAGTTGGTTCTATATTTGGTATATACTTCTTGTCTTATTGATTTTGAATTATTTTAAAATGTCTGAGTTTGTCGAAATTAAAAACATTTCTATTCCATTTACAACAAGGGCGACTACAATAAAAGTCCCATAAATCGGAAGAATTTTGATCTCGGGGGCATGGCCTCCATACACCCCCCCTACCCCCCCCACCCCCCCTCTGGAGCCGCCCTTGATTTACAAACAGTATTTAACATAGAAGCGATAAAGATAATAATTAGATACAAAAATATTACAATGTGACGAAGTTTTTCATTAGATTGTTTTAAAAAAATACAAAAAATAAGAAATAAGATTAAAGAACTATGAAAATAACTGTTTTTTTTTTTAATTAAACATATTAAAGATCCAGAGTTTCTTTTGATTTATAGAAAATCGTCAGCAATGTTGTCGAAAAAAAAACTATAACACATATAATTGATTTTACTGTACTATAAAAAAGTTTATTGTCGTTATTCCAATATTTCTTTAACATAGTAGGTCGATACAAAATGTTATTTATTACAAAGTAAAAATGCATGATTCTGTCGTTACTTGAAATTTACTGTGGAAACTAATAAACCCGTTTTATGACGACTATAAATACTACAAATTGTAACAAAATTATATTTATATGTTAAGATGAAGCTATATTAAAGTGTGATATTATGTTATAGATTAATTATAAATGTTTTGATAATGACATTTATATATTCGGCAATATAATGCTTCTTGTCTCATTATTACAGGATGATCCAAAAGTGTTGCAATGAAGAAAAACATTTTTGTTAATGGAACAACATGTACAGTATTATTTAATAGAGTATAACATTATGACCCTAAATTTTTCAGAAAATTTTTAACAAATTAGGCATTCCAAACAAAATGGCTGCCCGTATGTAATGACAGGTTATGATATGGCAACCCTGTGGGCCTGGTGATTTGACATAGTTAATGATATAGATAGTTATATAGATTGATCATCCATGTTTTTCAAAATAAACGTAAGTTTATAAAATTGGTTTTAAAACATATTTTTGCTAAACCAATTTTGATTAATGAGCATTTGCGAGGTAACATGGCCGCTCTCAAAACGACCCGCTTTGAGCAAACTATGCAACTATAATGTATCATTGATCCTGGCAAAGACAACAGGACGACAGGGTTGCCATATCATAACCTGACATTACCCACGGGCAACATTTTAACAGGTCTTTGGAATCCCTAATAGCGTTTAATCAAATTATCGTAGGAAATGACACGTCTCTTGTCTTAATTTTGATAGTTTAGTTTTTCTGTTCCAGTTCAGGAAAATGTCTTATAAGTTATATATGTCCCATCAAAAGAAATATGAAGAGGGTATACCTACCTTTGTTGAATTACCTAAAAGCGGTCGATCAAAAATTGTGAATCACGCAAGGAACAAAGACTGAATGAAGCTGCTAAAGACGAATATGGCGTTTCACGGTGGAAATGACCTCGAAGATTCGGTATTTCAAAGACGACAGTTGAAAAACCAACTAATTTATCGAAATGATTCATACATTATTTTTTATTCGAATGTGCTTAGATACTAAAAATATATATAAAATTAAATCTGGAATGATGTTATTTCCAATATTTCTTATAAACTGATTCTTTTTACTTTACTTTTAAAATATTTATTGGTCATTGCCATCTCCTTGTCAATCGACATTATATGGCAGTTATTGGCTACTTTGGAGATCGATATTTGAACTTTTGTGAATTTTTGTTTGAATTTACTTGTGGTTGTCTTCCCTGGGAAAAAAAATATATAAAAACCAAGGTTGTCCTTGTATACAGAGTTGAGATAAAGTACGGAACCAAATAAATATCATAACCAAAACGTGATAATGTTCAAAATTTGCAGGATGGTGAAATGACACATAGGGCATAATCCTGCGACTTTTTTGTTGTTGAAATATACATCTTGTTTTTCGAATTCGTTTGTAATGGGTTTGGTATGAGTATTTATTTGGTTTCCGTTTGGTTCCATACTTTATCCCAACTCTGTATATGTGTCATTAGTAGCACAGTATATGTGTCATTAGTAGCACAGTATATGTGTGTGTGTATTGATATTTCACGAGACTGCACGGTGAAGTCCATCGCCAAAATGGAGATCGCGACAAGCCTCGGTCTTCGCACTGGCGTGCAGTCCTCCATTGGACTAGATTTGTAAAGTTCTAGTCCTAGAGTGAAATATCAATTCAGTAAACTCATCGAAGTTGGGAGTCGAGTTCGTATATGTCTAGTTTCTCGTGCAAACATTCATGTTTCCTGTTTGTAGCTTGTTTCTATGAAATTTGAAAATGTCTTCCTTTACTTCGCGCAGAAGACAATGCTTTGAATGCAAATTCTTTGAGCGTAGCCTAGGGCAAGCCGAATACACTTGTTCTGGATTCTTTGGAGTTTGTTCCAGTGTGAATAAGCCATAAAGCAGAAGACTGGAGATCCGTAGGTTAATACAGGTCTAATAATTTGTTTATACAACATAAGTTTGTTGCACACAGTAATTTCACTGCGTCTATAGAGCATAGGGGATACGATATAATAACCGAATCACAGCCGCAACTGTGTTAATCTTGTCATCAATGTGTCTTTGGAACGTTTTGAATTTTGAGGTTACTAATGATATCTTGTGACCTTTTTTGGACAGTAGAAGGCTCTCTGTTTTTTGTGTGTTAACAGATATTTTCTTTACTTCTAGATAGGGTACTATTGATATGTATCTCCAGTCTTCTTAATGCTATCTCGGCCGAAGTTGACGTTTTAAAAATACATGTATAATCGGCCTACAACGCGCCGTCTGTATACCATTAATTCCCATAGGTAAATCATGAGTCATGATGGTGAACAGGTGCGGCGAGAGTACTAAACCCTAAGGCACTCATGTTATCGCTGTGTACGGTCCGTGTTGATGATACTGATTTTAGTAAAAACATTTGTCCCGTATGTTTGTATTGTTTTTACAACACAGGGTAGTCATTCACTAACATTTTGTAGATCAAACCGTCAATCCAGACGGTGTCAAAAGCTTTAGCTGTATCCAGCGCTACTAGCACAATTTGATTTTTATCGTTGAACAACGCTTTTTTTAGCGTGATGAGCAATTCTTATGATTTGAGCTGGCCCTGAAACCATACTGTTCTGACGGTATGATCGGGTTGTTTTTTTCGTAGGCAGTAGGCGTTCAATCCTGAAAGGAATATCCGATCTATTACTTTCGCGGTGGCCGCGCCGTTAAGTAGCGATATGGGGCGATAGCTTTCAACTTTACTTGGATTTTTACCCCGTTTAAGTATGGGGATGGACATTCGCGAGTATATGTATTTTAGCTCTGATGTATTTGCGATTCAAATTAATTTTCGCGCGCCTGTCATTTGTCACCTGTAAAAAGGTTATTAGTCTATTTTAGGGTATGGTCCGATATTAACCGAATACTAACGCAAGTAACCAGGATTTTTGGACATCGGTTCTTGAAAACAATTAATTTTTTGGTTACATTTGGACCACGGCCGAGATTTACGTCACTTTTGTGACAGATAAATGACATTCGACTTAATAGTAAGCGTAAAAATATAGCGGTTAGTGAATTGACGTTTGAGTCACCATTTCCAGGTAACCGCGTCCCTAATTTAACCGATTTTTCAGGAATGTCTAGCAGAGAGGTTAGTTTTGGACCGAGTAACCGATATTTCGGTTAATAATGGACCATACCCTAAAGTTAAGTAGTGTTTTTGAGTTTCATTTAGTGTTCATTTAAGTTAAATTTCTGTGCTTTCGTTATAAATAAAGGCATTTAACTTCAACCATTAACCGGGATTTTTTTAAATTTAATTTTTTTAAATAATTCTGATGCCGACCATTTACTATTGGGTTCTAATTAACAGTATTGTTTCTGAAGTGGCGCTGGAAAACAGTGACAGAACAGACATGAATGAAAATAAAACAACTGAGACTGGAATATTAGGTGTATACACCTTAGCCATAAAATGAAAAAACAAAAAAGGCATTTGACCTGTAGAAACAAAATAAGCAGATATGCTCAATTAAATGTTAAAATAAAATTTTAATTTTATAATTTTTTTCCCACATTTTGGATTACATTAAAAATAAACAGGTACTTAACATACTGCGATGCTTAAGCCGTCTGTTCCTTGTTTACTCCTTGCCCGCGGTATGAAGTCTAGCGCTGGCCATATAGAGACAAACGCACCGCTTCGAGAAACTACCGAACTGATCCCTTTGCGGCGTATGAGTCATAGAAAGGCAATTTTCGATCGTTCTGGAAAGTCTAGAGAGTTCCTGTACAGAGCTGGCTTTATATAAATAGCGCGAGTTCGTCGACGGACAAGAAGTTTAAAATTAAGTGTTGGACAGAAAAGACAAATTGTAATAAATAAATTAGAATTGTGAGTTAGTGCCTAAGTATTATATACATTAATTAGTACGTTATAAATAAATTGTAAATAAAGTGTTTTAAATAAATAAATTATAAATAAACTATCGTTACAATACTCACCGACGGCCACAAAGTACTGCGTGTAATCAGTAGTTGTAGGAGCTTTGGTAGCTAAATCAGCATGCGATCCCAATTCGTCCCTTTCTTCGATTTGTATGGTTCCAGCTTCGCTTTGTAGAATGTTACCCTCCAAAGCGTTCAGTTTTTTGAATGTGATCAAAAACGCCAAAGAAGCTACGAACATGATTATTTCCGGACCGAGCCATACCAAAATGTAGGTCGGCGTCATGTTGTCCAACCGGACTATTCCTACGTAACGGAAGATGATTTCTACTACTGGATGGTGCTGAAAATAAAAAAGACATCTACTTAGGGAAAGTTGTATAGGTTACGTTTATAGTATAGTTTAACCTTAGGTTAAAACTGAGAATTTTGAAAATATCCCTTCTGTAATTCCCGGTTAAACTATTTGTAGCTGACTTCATCTCACCTAAGTGCATGGGCGTCGTTACACAATTCTATAGGGAGGGGCAAAATTAAAAAAAAAATTTAAAATGTTTATTTGTTAGAAAACAAAGAAAATGAAAAATAAAAGACAATTTTCTTATGATGGATTTAATTATTCTGGGACGTCATGGCTTACTTCCGGTTTTTCCAGAAATAACGAAAAATCGCAATTTATTTTTTATTTTTAAATGAAAACCCTTTTTCTAATTGAAAATTTGAATTTTTGGGACATTTTTGTTTAAGAAGCGTGTATTGAAAATTTTCTATATATTCTATATATTTTCTATATGATGGTCATTTTGACAGCTGACAGAAAATTTTCAACACATGAGTCTTATCTATAAATTTCCTGAAATTCAAATTTTCAATAATAACGGGGTTTCTATTTAAAAATTAAAAATAAATTGAGATTTTCTATTATTACTGATAAAACAGAGGTAAGACATGAAGTCACACACGAATTGAATCCAGTATATGAGAGTATTTGTCCCAAGCTTTTAACCAAATAAGTTTTTATTCCAATATATCAATTAACAACGAAGATAAAAGCGGATGGAATTATTAAACGGTTTGCTAATAATAAAAATGCTTAGATACGCCACTGGTATATGGCAAATGGGTCTCAATGGGAATTTTGAAGCCTAAAAAGATTTTATAAAGTTCGTACATTCTTATATGTTTTTCCATAAACGAATTAATGGTAACATATTTAGAAAAATATTATCCAATATGGCGGCCATTGTACAGCTGACAGAAAATTGTCAATACACGATTATTATACAAAAATGTCCCAGAAATTTAAATTTACAAAAAAAAGAGGGTTTCCTTTTAAAATTAAAAAAAAATTGATTTTCTGTTATTTCCGGAAAAACCGGAAGTAAGCCATGACGTCACAGAACAATTGAATCCATCATAAGAAAGTATTTGTTCTAGTCTTTCAAACAGTACAAAATTATTCCGATATCTCACTGAAGAGCGAAGATAAGGGGGAGTCATTGTCATTGGTGAATTTTTAAACCACTTTGTACGTCTGGATAAAATTCACACTGTTTGAACGCTATATCATTAATGGAGAGCTTAGAAAGTTCTTTCGTATTCCAGTTTGGTATTCAGATTCAAAATTGTCGATTCCAAATTTTTCCGCTACTTTCATTTTCTAATCGGTAGTAAAAAGTATTTTTTTTTATGTTTTTGGGATGTAACAGGCTTAAGGAAAAACTAACACAGTCTTCAGAAAAGCGTGATGTAAGCGACGTAAGGGAATCCAGATATGCAATAAATATATTCAACCTATAATATTCTTCAACTATATTACCCTGAATATTATTATGTCTATGAGATTGTTGTTCGTAATGCGTATCCTACGCGTTGTTGATTAAGTCGTAAAAGCCAGGGGGCAACTGCCTTCCTTGCCCCCCCCCCCCAAACGACGCCCATGCTACATGTTCTTAATCACTTGTAAGGACTCAATATTTTTAAATTCTAATCTAGTAGGCACGTGTCAATTTTTTTAGTTTGTGTTTTTGATCTTGGTGGATCAAAGAAAAAATATTTAAAGACGTTTTTGTTTTATGGTAAATTTTTAATATTGATTTAAAATTTTTCTCGGTTACTAAGACCTTTAGAATTTCATGTTCCTATATCAAAATTCATCAATTAACGAGAGCTCTCTGGCGATAGAGCGTTGTCGATCGGATATACAAACACCCTGTTTAAGGGGCCTTTACCAGTGTTTTGTCCCGAGGCCCCACCATGGATCTCGGCGGCCCTGCTTCTGTTCAAATATAAATACGTTAAATTTAAAAAATAAAAATTGGTTAGGTTAGGTTAATTGTAATTTATTATTCAATTATTCTATGATTTAATAACATTTTTCGATATTGTCAAAAATACAGGTAGTTTATTCTTGGATCCTATAATATATGGGGTATGTCACAAAATCGAATAAAAATATTAATAATAATTAAAAATATAGGGCCTAGATGACTAATAAATTTTGATTTCTGATGATTTCATCCTGTGTTTTAGGCTATACAGAATACATAATTTATTATAAGCAGTAACTTTTTCGTACTACTGCTAATAAAAACGTTTTATTACGATCACAATCCAAGGTAGACTTTTGCGCTTCGAAATACAACGCAAAGTTGACGTTTCCCGCGAACTGACATTAAGTGACGGCTTTGTCGCTCGCCAAGCGGAAAACTTGACTGCTTTGTTGCTCGCCTTATTTAAATTAGATATAATATAATGATATTTATTTTAATAAATAATTTTCAAGCTATTTGTACGTAATTTGATGTTTTTTGTTTATTATCCAAGTTAACATTGACTTTGAATATCAACTCCGTTTTTCATTATTAACGTAGATATAGGCAACACATTATACACTACTTACGACAAATTTTCAGTTTTTATATCTATTTCTTAAAATAATGTGATCGTAGAAAAAATCTCATGTGAATTTTGAGCGAAAATTTCGTTGCCGCCAACTTTCTGTCTCAAGCGGCAAATTATCACTTTTCGCTCTTAATACACAAATAGATATGTTCATAATACACTCGTAGTTCCAACTTAAGTAGACCACTGCATGTTTGTGAAAAATTCCATAGATAACTCTTTTATAGAAAAATTATCAAACATTGTGAAGTCCGACCCATATATACGTCCGATAAATTATTGTTATTGTTTACGATGTTCATCTCTATTTTTGTTGTATAAAACTCTTTAGGAATGCCTATGAAATGTATCAAATGTATGAATTTGTTTTAAAAAGGATCTAATGAAAAGATCGGATATAGCCATCGAAATGTTAAATGCATTGTAATTTAGTTTTTGGTTATAATAGATTTACCACATTTATTTCATTTCTTGTCAGTTAGACACGAGACGACAATTGCTGGACAATTTCCGGATATTTTTCAATCCCACAAGATTGTTGGACATTTCTCGGAATTCCCATATTTCCCGGAAGCTAGACCTCTCTGTATAGAGCAGCAAACCACAAAGATCTAATATTAAAATGCACCCCCATTTTTTACCCGAAATTTCAGTGCAGGTATATCATACGATTATTTTTTTTATGATAATTATGATAATTTCGAGTCAAACAGAATTTATGTTTTCCTACTTCCGAAAATAGTGATTTATAGTATATAAACAAAATATGATTCTTACTAAAATAACACCGGTAAAATGGCCTTGAACAGTATGCGATTAGAACGGTATCAGTGAATAATTGTGCTACTATCTCGAAACATTCTTTTCATACACAAAGCTAATTAATGGTAGATGGTAAAGGCCTCTAACCAACAAGACATATATTCATTATTAAGTATTACGTTTAATTTAATATCAGTAGCGTATCGAGCATTTGGCAAGCAATGATGCTACATGCCACTGGAGACAAAATCAGCATTGATATAATGTTTATTTCTTGAACTGTCCATAACAGAACAGCAAACGTGGCCAAATGTTTCGTTCCGAATTTTCTCGCATTCATTCGAACTTGCTTAGAAAATTCTAGACGTCATTCCACTAGAACCGGAACATACGTCGGCAGACAGGTGCCTCCGGCAGTTTCTAGAATATCCATTCACCAAAATCGTTGACCAGGCTCGTTATGGTCTTCATTTCATTGCATTCAAGAGTGAATGGTTCGGTGGTTTACCCACTTTATCAAATATTCTTGGTAATCGTAAAGGTGGAGGCCGTAAGAGGCCTAAATAAGACAGGAATTAAGGGTATATAGCATGACCGGACTGGTCGAAAATAGATCGCACGACAATATGATAAGTACCTAAGTAGCGCCAGTAGACTAGCAAGAGCATGTTACAAGCACAATGTAGATCTAACTAAATCAAGCAAGTACCGTGCTTATTCTATTTGCACCAGTGAACTTAAAAACTTTCGAACTTTTGACTAATAGTCGTGGAATTTAAAATAGCGCTAAGAAACAAATGGATTGCACGATTAAAATTATTTAATTAATATTCACTGTTTTAGATTTCGCGAGATAGAACTTTTTAAACTAACCAGATGATTGGAAAGTTAGACATTTCTAAAATTGCTTACTCCGGCGTTAGCCGATCCGAGGTTTCATAGAGGATTGAATATCCGCGATAACCAACGAAATAAAATTATGGATGCATAACCTATATTAAGAATGATATCAAACCGTATTTTGTTGAATTTATACGATCATTGTTGTGACACGTATTGAAATGGCCCCTCGTAGAAAAAATAAAATGATTGCTTTGAATTCTAGGCACTCGAAATACTTATTTAACATTTTCTAAGACCATATTACACTTGTCAACAAAAGTTTACTCAACAATTTTCACACATAACGAAACATGCTGAATTTATTGTATTTTTTACACCCAATTTAAAAATGTTTTCATGAAAATTTTCAGGCAGTGTTAGAGGTGTCAAAGAAACTAATTTTGAAAAAAATTTAAGTACATTTTACAAAATTTTAAAAATATATATCAAAATGTAAATGCTTAATAATTGACAGATTCAACTTTCATGTTAAATCTTAAATTTCTTCTTTTCTATCAAATACATTAATGACGTTTAGCCTTTCTTTTTAATAGACAACGGATAATGACAATTGACAATTAATATATGATTATGTTGTCAGATATTGTTTATTTTTGTGTATCAGCAATGTTTACCGAGTATAAAGTTGACAAATGACATGTCACCACGAGAAAGCAAAGGTTTCTTTTCTGTCTGATTTGTTTCAAATTTCTGCTTCTTTTTATCTGTTATAAATTTGAGACGTAAATCTGTTAAAATGTCCTACTAAACCTATTTTTGAATAATATTTTTAAATAAAATAAACTAGTAAGAACATTAATAAAAACACGTTTAAAACACAAATATCTTAAAAAATATTATAAGAACACAACTGGCCTCTTACACATTTCTTCAGTAACCAACATTTTGTTGACTGCAGAATCATATCTTATTAGGAACAAGATTATTAAAAAAGAAGCACTAATGCTAATTATAAACCGAGTATAAATACCTTTTTTGAATATTTAGTCCAGTTTAATGCTTAATCATAATACTAATACTAATAATAAGGGAGTATAAATAGACCTTAAGATGTTTTTTATTTTAAGAAATCTCTTAAAATTCATAAAAAAGAAAATTACAATTCTATTACGAAAGTTTATGGTAATTAGTTCTATTGTGTAATTAAATTCTTAATATTCTCGAATTATGTTTAAATGTGTTAGTCCTATCCTGTACACTGCAATATGCAATCAATGCGCAAGCGCGTGGGTCGCGTTTTTTAAAAGTTGGCAGCCTTCAATTATACGTGTCTCATGAAAATGACAGTTCCTATCTCCTCTAATCTGTGGTCTAAGGTTACGGGGTCATCAAATATTTCTTCTGTTTTTTATGGGCTCAGTTGTTCACTATCTACCAGTGCCAGTGTTTAAAACAGTTTTAATTTTACAAAAATCAGCCATAAGAGCTGTAACACGCACTTCTTGGCAAGCCAAGGTAGACCTTAGATAGTGCTAGTGAAAAACTGAGCCCATACAGCCAAAGAAGACAAGGAAAAAAAAATAATGCTGCGCTGTAACCTTACGAAAGATTAGAGAAATATTGCAAATGTCTTTAATGTCAGCCACTAATAGTGCCGACGTAATTAGAGACAAATAAATTCCATGCTAAAGTAAGACATTGCAAACCTGAAATTTTGACATTAGAACCCTTGTCCATATACATATATCTAACCTTATTTTAAAAATGTTAAACAACAGTTCTTCTTTTTTACTTTCCTATCTGTATACAGATATAAGGAAAGTATAGGAATCATGATTTTTTTTCGACCTCGAGTTTTCGACGGATTTTTACGTTTTGAGGTCCCCTGAATCCGTTTTGACTATTTTCGCGATGATGTCTGTCTGTGTGTGTGTGTGTGTGTGTGTGTGTGTGTGTGTGTGTGTGTGTGTGTGTGTGTGTGTGTGTGTGTGTGTGTGTGTGTGTGTGTGTGTGTGTGTGTGTGTGTGTGTGTGTGTGTGTGTGTGTGTGTGTGTGTGTGTGTGTGTGTGTGTGTGTGTGTGTGTGTGTGTGTGTGTGTGTGTGTGTGTGTGTGTGTGTGTGTGTGTGTGTGTGTGTGTGTGTGTGTGTGTGTGTGTGTGTGTGTGTGTGTGTGTGTGTGTGTGTGTGTGTGTGTGTGTGTGTGTGTGTGTGTGTGTGTGTGTGTGTGTGTGTGTGTGTGTGTGTGTGTGTGTGTGTGTGTGTGTGTGTGTGTGTGTGTGTGTGTGTGTGTGTGTGTGTGTGTGTGTGTGTGTGTGTGTGTGTGTGTGTGTGTGTGTGTGTGTGTGTGTGTGTGTGTGTGTGTGTGTGTGTGTGTGTGTGTGTGTGTGTGTGTGTGTGTGTGTGTGTGTGTGTGTGTGTGTGTGTGTGTGTGTGTGTGTGTGTGTGTGTGTGTGTGTGTGTGTGTGTGTGTGTGTGTGTGTGTGTGTGTGTGTGTGTGTGTGTGTGTGTGTGTGTGTGTGTGTGTGTGTGTGTGTGTGTGTGTGTGTGTGTGTGTGTGTGTGTGTGTGTGTGTGTGTGTGTGTGTGTGTGTGTGTGTGTGTGTGTGTGTGTGTGTGTGTGTGTGTGTGTGTGTGTGTGTGTGTGTGTGTGTGTGTGTGTGTGTGTGTGTGTGTGTGTGTGTGTGTGTGTGTGTGTGTGTGTGTGTGTGTGTGTGTGTGTGTGTGTGTGTGTGTGTGTGTGTGTGTGTGTGTGTGTGTGTGTGTGTGTGTGTGTGTGTGTGTGTGTGTGTGTGTGTGTGTGTGTGTGTGTGTGTGTGTGTGTGTGTGTGTGTGTGTGTGTGTGTGTGTGTGTGTGTGTGTGTGTGTGTGTGTGTGTGTGTGTGTGTGTGTGTGTGTGTGTGTGTGTGTGTGTGTGTGTGTGTGTGTGTGTGTGTGTGTGTGTGTGTGTGTGTGTGTGTGTGTGTGTGTGTGTGTGTGTGTGTGTGTGTGTGTGTGTGTGTGTGTGTGTGTGTGTGTGTGTGTGTGTGTGTGTGTGTGTGTGTGTGTGTGTGTGTGTGTGTGTGTGTGTGTGTGTGTGTGTGTGTGTGTGTGTGTGTGTGTGTGTGTGTGTGTGTGTGTGTGTGTGTGTGTGTGTGTGTGTGTGTGTGTGTGTGTGTGTGTGTGTGTGTGTGTGTGTGTGTGTGTGTGTGTGTGTGTGTGTGTGTGTGTGTGTGTGTGTGTGTGTGTGTGTGTGTGTGTGTGTGTGTGTGTGTGTGTGTGTGTGTGTGTGTGTGTGTGTGTGTGTGTGTGTGTGTGTGTGTGTGTGTGTGTGTGTGTGTGTGTGTGTGTGTGTGTGTGTGTGTGTGTGTGTGTGTGTGTGTGTGTGTGTGTGTGTGTGTGTGTGTGTGTGTGTGTGTGTGTGTGTGTGTGTGTGTGTGTGTGTGTGTGTGTGTGTGTGTGTGTGTGTGTGTGTGTGTGTGTGTGTGTGTGTGTGTGTGTGTGTGTGTGTGTGTGTGTGTGTGTGTCGCATAACTCATGAACCGATACACAGAAAAACACCAAATTTCAAACTTAAGCTTTGTTCCAGCATCCAATGTGCTGATTAGATTTTGGGCAGTGTCGGAACATCTGGGGGGGGGGGGTACTTTATAGGTGGTCATTTTTATATTTTATGGAATATATCTGTTATTTACATTTGGGGAAGAAAATTCTTCAAATAAAAGTTACTTCTTATATTATTATCTAAAATTGTTCTATACAAAATTTTCCTAAAATGGTCCGTATTCGAGAAATTTGACAAAATGTAAAAAAAATATTTTTTTATAAAAATTGTTCAAACAAAAGTTGTTTGTAATATAACTCTCTATCATTTTTATCCTTTACAAAATTTCTCTAAAATGGACCGTATTCGAGATATTTGAGAAAATGTGTAAATTTCGAAATTTGAAGAAAACTTATAACGGATAAAGAAAAAAACCATAAATTTTATTTCGGCCTGACGTGAAATGATTAGATTTTGGACAAAGTCGGAACATCTGGGGGGTACTTTATGGGGGGGCCGTTTCTATATTTTATGGAATATATCTGTTATTTATGTTTGGAGAAAAAAATTGTTCAAATAAAAGTTATTTCTAATATTATCTATAATTTTTGATTTATGTCAAAATTTCCTGAAATGGTCCGTATTCGAGAAATTTGACAAAATGTGCAAAATTCTGATTTTTATGAAAATTGTTGAAATAAAAGTTGTTTGCGATATCGATCTCTATAATTTTTGTTTATACATTATTTTTCTAAAATGGACCGCAATGGAAAAATTGTAGGAAAAGTGCTAAATTTAAATTTTTCAGTATTTTCATTTTCAATGAATATCTATAGAAAAATGTTTCGAGGTAGATGTATGTGGAAAATGTATATATTTATTTTATCCTCTAAACATTTATGGAGGTGCTGCAATAGGTTGTACAAAATAACCGGAAAAAGCATGTAATAACTAGATAGGAAAGTCATGTGTTGGACACATCAGATTTTTGTTGTCTATAATAGTACATAATATGGAAGACGCATTAGAAATTACCATTTTAGAAGGATAAGATGACGATGATATTAAATGTTTAATATTAAAAAACTTAAATATCGGCGAGCGCACCCAAAAGCTATATAGTCGCCACTATCTGCTGCCCTTAAACATCCAGAATTAATGACAAGCACAATCTTTAATAAAGTCAGTTCTAAAATGTTAACGATCTGCGCATGCTCATATGTCAATATAAGAGCGGCGCTAATAGTGACTGACCTTAAGTAAACTTGCAATATCTATCTATTGCCGAAATGATAATTTACAGTTTCCTTCGAAATAAAATCCTGCTTCTATTACTTGCTATGTAAAATGATAGATGGCGCAAATGATCTTAAAACGGCTATATGTCTTCCGATGAAATCATCTATTGACGTGGACCCAACGACGGACCTGTTAAGACCGGCAAATGGCTTTATAATCGGATTTTAAGCACAAATACCTACCAGTTAGTAAGTTAGGATAAACTTTAAAATTATATTAAACTTATATTATACTTACCACGAAAAGTTCAGCGTATGGTACCATAGAGACTAAAGCTATTTGGAAGGAGGCTTGGATGACTGTCAAAACGGTGGTGATGCAAAAAACCGCTTTGAGAAAGTCCCCTGTGGTACCTATCATAGTTTCGGAAGTTGGCACAGGTATGAACGGTATAATTAACATAAATAGTAAGTATATGAAGGAGAAGAGCGACGGTCGAAATAGCACACCTGAAAATTAAAAGAAAAACATCATTAACAGTTGCAGAGACAACAGAGACATGTAATTTCATAGGAAAATTTGTTCGGTAGTCCATTTAAATTACATATATGACTTTCTTTCTCTTTTACATTGATTTGAACATATATTTATTTATCTCCCATAAAACTCCAACTAGCGCTAGAGGTCGCTGATGTTATCGGTTTTTTGACGTTGTCGACGTGTGACGCATAGACTAGAACTGACAACTGACAATGTTATGAATGTGGTTATAAACGTGTGCATTTTATTAAAATTAATTTAATTTGTGCCTCCGTTTATTTCTTTGAGTCTGATTTTGTGGTTTAATTAGTTTACCAAATGTTTCGAATGAAATTAAAAAAGAGTTAGGTAAATTCAAAATTAGATTTTTTATTGGTAAAATGTTATGTTCATTCAAACATTGAAAGGTAATCTATAATTAAGGGGGTATGGAAAATAGGTATACCCTGTAAGAAACAGGTAAGGGACATGGAGAACAATAGTGTTTATTATTATTAATATTATTTATTATTTGCTACGTTTGATGCAGAGCGGATTGAATATATTTTTTTGAATAAATTGGTTTCGTATAAGAGACGACTAGTTGGAGAAGGTTCGCCCAGTCGCCAAATTAGCAGACTAGACTTTCACAGGACTGGAGACACAACAGAATTCACACACATACACAAGAAACACAAACAGACGACATAACAGGGGCAAGCTTTCATCAACCTCTTGTTTAAATGACCATAGTATGTTATCCTTCATGCCCTTTTAGAAGGCATGCCATACAAATGTTTGACTACGCCGCTGTATTTAGATCTATTTTTACCTCCTTCATCCATTTTGATCAGACATTTTCAGAATTTTTACCGTTTAGTACCAACAGTAAAAACATTTTTTCTACGTCCACCTCTGTAAAAATGTCATCTCTAATATTGCTAGTGGGTTGTGTGTAACATACATATAGGCCCGTATTTATAAACAGAACTTATGTGAGTCGGACTTGGGTAAGTCGTCCTTGAACGAAAATCGAAGTTCGGTTATATCGCGTGAATTTAGAGATGGGTAGTAACAAATCCGTAAATGAACATAACAGTTACAGATTTGCTAATAGCCATCTCTAAATTCCAGTGTAACACCGGAACCACCTCGAACTATAGAGACGTTGTAACCGAACTTCGATTTTAGTTCAAGGACGACTTACCCAAGTCCGACTCACGTAAGTTCTGTTTATAAATACGGGCCATAGAGTGTCAATTTAGGACTTCCGATTTTGACCCCGTGTTGTCAATATTGAAATGGCGGTCTCAGAATCGGGAGTCATGTGTATGTGTTTTTGTAAAAATCTTTAATAAGAATAGCCATCGAAAAGTGATTTTTATCTTGATTAGATATTTGATAGCAATAGTGAGTATTTTTGAATTGGATGAAAATAAATTGTCATATGGAATGATGGTAAATGTATTGAGATTTTGGATTATTACTTAGAGCAATACAAGCATACTCTCTATATAAGCTTATTTGTCTGCTCTGATTAAATACCGTTATGGTAGAGGTTATTAAACTAAAATAAGAAGTGTGTCAATTTAAAAACTTCTCATTGGCAGTATTTCTTAATAAAAATAATATTAAAGATTGCTTAGAACAAATAGATATTTATTCCAAGAGAGGACACCTTTCATTAATAATTTAATAAATTTGCTATTTTGATTGATTGCGATAAAGTTAAATGATTTAATCCTAACATTCTTGTGCTTATTGATGTTACGTTTTATTAAATTAGCTTTCAAATGAAATGTCACACTTTACTTTAAGTAAAGTTTTTTGTGTCAAAATTTGAATTTTCTTAATTTAAATTGTATTAGTCAGTGTGGCGGAGGAAAGGGAAAATATGATAGAAATGTGTCCCAGTTGGATTAAAAATCTACCTGTTTCAAGCAATTTTTGATATTCTTTTTTATCAGGAGATATTGTCAACGGGAAGTTTTTAAATTGACACCCTGTAAGGTTATTGTAAAACGTTGAAAAATTACATGGAGTGCAGAAAACTGAATTTTAATGGTTTAATCAATTTATATCAGTTACTATTAGTATCTGTTGTTGTTATGGTCAATTTACAAAATAAAAACCACAAAATTGTTTGAATAAAAAAAAATAAAAAATGACAAATTACAAGGTATGGTGATTCAAAAGATAGGCATGTAGTTTTTATTTTAAAATCAAATTTCTTATTTTTAAATAGCTGTGAAAAATAATGTCATTAGTAGTTATGTCAATTTTTAAAAGATAATTTTTTTGGTAACAATTTAATCAATATTACCAGAAATTATTATGAAAACCCAAGCTGTTACAAATAATCTTAGGTAAGAGTACCAATAAAATAGAAAAAGGTATGACATAATTAACTACAAAAATTTTTCTATAGTACTTTGAGAAAGTGTGCCATATTATGTTAATCAAACGGGTGCTCGTAAGAATATTTCGCAGTACGGTACTGCTCAAAAAATTAAATAGAAATATGACATCATAAATCTCATTAAAAATCTTTGTTTCTAATAATTCATGAATAAATGATTAAGAATGCATTTTTATTTTTATAATGCATATAACCTTTTTATTGCTTTACTGGGATTATCCAATTTAAAAGATATTCATCTCTTTTTTTATTGCAATAAAAGGTAATCGAATAGTTTTTTTTGATGTTGTATTGACTCGTTTAAAGTGAAACATCAAAATAAATTTTTAATTAAAATAACTATAAAAATATTGTTTAATTGAGAACAGACGATTACGTTTCTACCTATTTATTTTTAAGATACTGAAATGCAACTGTGCTCTTTCATAGTTTCTAAGTTTGATGCATTCATATACAGTGTGAATCGTAAGTTGATACTTTTTTAATTATGTATAGAAAACAATTTTAAAATAACTAAAAAAATAAACTAAAAAATAAGAAAGATACAAATAAAAATAATATAGGTCCCAGGTTCGAATCCCACCGTTGGCCGTGATTTTTTTATTTAATTTAATTATTTAAAATTAATTCTGATGCCTTGGTAGGATTCCCCACTCGACCATTCACTGTTGGGTTCTAATTAACAGTGCTGTTCCTAAAGTGGCGCTGAGAAACAGTAACAAAGCCTACACAGAACACAAGGCGAGATAACCTTAGCAGTTAAAGCCGATGACACAAAAAAAAAGAATATAAATCCGAGCCTGGAACTGTGAACGAAAAATTAAACAAATTAATAAATATGTTTATGTTTTTGTTTTTCGGATTACTTATGAATATGAATCGTCAGATATGTAGTCGTCTGATTTCAGTAGCGTGTTGGTCAGTCAGTATGGTAAACTGAAAATAAAGTGGGTTTATGAACACATTTTAAATAAAGCTATCGAGGAAGATTCAACAATATACTTTAGGGATATTAATAAATCGGTAAAACATACATTTTTGTAACAGTCGCTAAAAACAAAATTTTTAATATACTTTCTGTCAAGCAAATACTGAAAACAGTGAATTTCTCATCATTATAATATCTACGATTCTTCGGAATCTCGGTCCGACACTACTTTCCGCCCCAATTAGGCCTTGTCTCGTGCGACCGACTTTTTATCAGGGCTGTGGCATTTTACCGCGAATCGTTTGGGCCCCCGCGACGGTCGGGGGGAGGAAGGCCGCGTGCCGTCCCCTTTTTCCATTTTACTTTCCATTTTCCATCGTCGGAAACACACCTTAATGCTTGAAGAGGAAATGCCGTAAAATATAATGAAGGGCTCGTGTCGCGAAAATTGAGGGTATTCGTCCACTATGACGATGATGATGATAATAAAATGTCTTTTACGAGTTTGTATACGTTCGATGGAAGTGAAGAATGGTGTCGAATCAAATTGAATGAGCTCTTTGTCGATTATGCAAATGCAAACGCGTTTGTGGGTCAATTAGGGATTCAACTTGACAGGACTTATCAAACTTGTATGGAATCATCCATTACCTCTTAAAAGAAAATAAATAGTTTATACCAATTTTATAAAAAAAAACGGACAAGTGCAAGTCATACTTGGACAACAGTGTTTTGTACAGAAGTTTTTTTTAAATAAATAGAGGAAAAGGACTAAATTTGAGATATTTTTTAAAACACAAAATAAAAAAAACTTATTATCAATATAAAAATTATATTTTAATGCGACGTTAAAAAGAATATTTATAATTAAACAAAGTAAAAGAGTCACATTCTTAACTTTAAAAAATGGGGTCTTAATTTAAGATACAATGGTATCCTAATTTGAGACACTACTTTGAATTTGTTCAAAAATCCTTTTCCTTCACAAAATGAATATAGTCTAATTATTTGTAAGTTCTCCACAATTCAAATGTATCAACCTGGTACAATGACTGCATTTTGATCATTCTTCGCACCAGTGTCGGATAGGGCCCTCGGTCTACCGGTCAAAAGTCCGGTAGGCCCTCGTTCAAGCTATGGACCCTCTTGAAGTAAATTCAAAAAACCCCGTAATACGTGAAAGGAAATTTTTTTGCTCTTCAAGGAAAATCGGACCATGAAAAAGGTGGGCCCTTCTCCCTCCTGACCGGTAGGCCCTAGAGGTCCTAATTCGACACTGCTTCGCACTGATCTTCAGAAAACTTGTTCATACAAAACAGACATTCTGCATCACTTCCACCACTCTCACCTGACTAGTCCACAAACTCTATACTCTTATATCACTAGAATTCTCACTAGAGGAGCTAGACCATTCTAACCTTCTTCTTGCTCTTTTTTTCTTATATTTTAAAGTGCCTCTGGGGCTCGTCATAAGTTGACTTTTTTGTGTTCTCTTAATTTTTTCAACTATATTGTTCCCAACAAATAATCAACAGCCTCTGCAGCGATTGATGATAAATTAATATTTACTCAAGTATAACTTATTGTTTATTTTTAAAGGGAAAGTTTTTTTAACAATTTTTTGAAATTTTTATGTGTTAAAT